TTTTAGACATAAATTTGGCCCGTCCGGTGAGTTATCCAGGTATAAGGCCCGATGGGTGGTTCGCGGATTTAATCAGCGTTTTGGCGTCGACTACAGCGAAACCTTCAGCCCCGTGATCAAGCCTGCCACAGTCCGCATCGTCCTTAGTCTCACATTGTCTCGTGGGTGGCCTATCCATCAGCTCGATGTCAAAAATGCTTTCCTCCATGGACAGCTTCAGGAAACCGTGTATGCCAGCCAACCTTCAGGATTTCAGGATCCTGAACGACCTCATCATTATGGCCAGAAACAGGCACCCCGATCATGGTATCACAGATTTGCAGGTTTTATTCAGGCTATTGGATTTCGCGGCTGCAAGTCTGACACATCACTTTTCATCTTCACGCATGCATCGGGGACCGCCTACCTCCTGTTATATGTTGATGACATTGTTCTCACTGCCTCCTCGCCAGCACTACTACAGAGTCTCATTCAGAAACTCAAGGCGGAGTTTGCTATGACAGACATGGGTGACCTGCACTTTTTCCTCGGCATTAATGTCCATCGCACAGCTCAGGGTCTTTTTCTTCATCAGACACAATTCACCCACAACATTCTTGAGCGGGCAGGGATGGTCTCCTGTCGCCCCATTTCCACTCCAGTCGACACGAAGGCAAAGCTCTCCTCGTCCTCCGGCACGGCACTTCCAGATCCCTCCCTTTACAGGTCCATAGTTAGAGCTTTGCAGTATCTCGCATTCACCCGACCTGATATTACTTATGCCGTTCAGCAGCTCTGCCTTCACCTGCATGCGCCTCGCGACTCTCACCTCACGGCCATGAAGCGCGTCCTCCGTTACCTCAGTGGCACCGCCTTGACCCGCTCCATGACCGACTATCTTCAGGCGTACTCTGACGCTGATTGGGCTGGATGTCCTGACACCCGACGTTCTACTTCCGGGTACTGTATTTTTCTGGGCGACAACCTAATCTCATGGTCATCCAAACGCCAGGCTACCATGTCACGGTCTAGTGCAGAGGCAGAATATCGGGCTGTGGCCAATGCAGTTGCAGAGACATCCTGGATTCGGAATCTACTCCTAGAGCTCCAGCAACCTCTACGGCGTGCCACCCTTGTCTTCTGTGATAATGTCAGTGCCGTCTACCTCTCATCAAATCCGGTTCAGCACCAGCGCACCAAGCATGTTGAGGTCGACATCCACTTCGTGCGTGATAAAGTCGCACTCGGCCACATAAGAGTTCTTCACGTGCCTTCCTCCTCCCAGTATGCCGACATCTTCACCAAGGGACTGCCTTCTTTGCTCTTCCTCGAGTTCAAGTCTAGTCTGGGTATCAGACCACCTCCACACCCGACGTAGCCGGGAGCATGCTAAATATATTCTATATTTAATATAAATATATTGTTTCCTATTATTGACTCCTACCTTGTATAGGAATAGGAATCTCAAGTATATATAAACACATGTACTCCCACATATTCTTTCAATGAAAATAATCTTTCTACATTAATGATGTAACTGGCAAACCACACCTCTGCCTTACCAACTAAATGTATGGAGGCAACATCTATCCTCTGATCCGCAGGGATCTTATAGAGATCAAAATACCATTCACATTTTTTTTATCCAATTTCGTGGATTTGTGCCATCAAAAACTGGAAATTCGATTTTAGGTAAGAATTTGAAGGCATTCTTCTCACCTTTTTCATGTCCGCTGGATTCTGCATCAGGTCTGCGACCAGGGCTACTGGAATTCTCAAACATCTCCATCATTTTTTCGAACATCTTCTGTTGTTCCACTCGCATCTCTTCAATGTTCTGAATCTGCGATGCTAATTGTTTTTCCAGAAGAATTATGAGCTGATTGTTCTGAGAATTTTCCATTTCTGAATCGTGTGATATCCGTGTTTGATTTCGCGTTTTGGCCAGGATGAACAGCTCTGATACCACTGTTAACAATCAATGCCGGAAGCTCTTACAGAATAAGAATAGAACTTCGAGGATGACTGTTAATGGCGAATCAATTCGCCTAAGGAGAAAATCAGACGAGAGAATGGGGTATTTATAGGCCTATTACAACAACTCAACAAACTTCAACAACCCAAACAGACTTAACAAACTTCAACAAACGTAACAAACTTCCATCCCTGTAACACTGTGATTTGCAACGGCCCATTGGAATGGTCAAAAATACCCTCCCTAGGAATTATCTTCTTGATTTAGCCAAGAAGTGAAGAAGTCGCCCTTTTCAATCTGGATATTTCTTCAGACCATGGTAGTTTCCTCTTCGACTTCCAACTACCGTGTGAAGAAGGAGACAAGGAGACAATATGAAGCAATTTCTTCCAATTTGAAGATGGCGAGGCCTGAATTAGATCTACATTATGGTACGGTAAAGTGTGATTGTTTGCCTCAATCAAGAAATTGTGTAATTCGAGTTGTGACTGACCATGAGAAGCCAAACAAAGGTAGGCTTTTTTATACTTGTGATTAGTGTGGGTTTTTTCTTTGGTGCCATCCACTGAAGGCTGAATTTCGAGGTGAGCCACTGCCAATTTATAGCTCTGTAATGGGTCGGTTGGTCGAAACTACGGGGAATTTGAGGAGGAGAGCTATTTACATGAGAATGCACGTGGAGCTCAAAACGAAGTGAATGCAGCTGTGCCCCGTGAGAATCATTGCAATAGGGGTGTGAATCTATATCAAACCATAAAGCTCCTTTGCAGGTTGTTGGGTCTTGTTGTTGTTTTGGTTGCTCTTTGGAAGTAGCTAGGTAGATGTATTTAGTAGTGTTCTTGGGGCAGTGTAGTAGTATTTTGAGTTGTTGATGTTCAAGTACTTATGTACTGATGTTGTATGACTTGTGTTGAGTGGATTGGTGAAATTTGTGTAATGGAAGATCATTGTTTTGTCCTTGTTTTTTATGGCTTGTATATTCTAATTTATGGCTTGTCCTTGTATACCAATTTTTTTGTTTCTGCCATGCTAAATGAAAACCAAGAAAAAAACCTGCACAAGAAAAACAAGACAATTGTCTTGTTGGTAATCTGCATGATTTCGTCCAGTACTTTCTAACTTGAAAACTTGCACTTCTTAAGCTAAATGAAAGTGCACCTGACATTCCATACAACTGACCCAACTGGATCTTTGGACTATCCTTTTTTATTCCCAAATTTGTTACCTTCATTACAGCTAGTTTCGCTTCTAACAAGAAAGAAAACTTCCCACTCAAATCCCACTGACTGAATGCATACAAAATACAGGAGAACCACATGAGAATCCCCATTTTGTCCTTGTTTTTTGTCAGTCACCCCAAGGGATTGAAGGAACCATTTAACAGAGAAGCAAAATGTAACAAAGAAACCCCATTCCAAAGGCCAGTAATGTTTTCATTCTCTAAAAGAAACATGCACCCAACAAATATTTAAAGTACTCCCTTTCAACATGTGGAGTCAAATAAGCAAAAAAAACTTCAATTTGCCTGGGTGGCTTTAAATTACATTCCAAAATGTGGAGCTAAATAAGCAAAAAAAGCTTCCACCTTTATCACCCCATGGCCATGAAATACAACACAAAAAAAAAGATTTTTCTAAACTCCAGATTATGGCTTCCACACTCTCTTATGGGCCTTTATCTATTCATAAACTTCAGCTTCTGTAATGCTCTTCTTTCTCTTCCCATGTGCTAAACCACCCTCTCTAGCTTGTTGAGTTTGAGTTGCTCTTCCATCTTCTGGTAAGGGTGGAAAATCTGCCTGAGTTGATGGTGCAGACCTAACTTCGGTAGACGTTCCTGCTCCACGCTGATTACACATAGAAACGTATTAATTTCAAGCATGATTTCATAATACCAAGTTTTATCAGCACTGCAAATTTATTATACCTTTAATAATGTGGATTGTGGATGATAAGCATTTTTGCAGGTTGTCTTGTTGTGTCCAGATTGAAGGCATTTCCGACAGGTGATTCCCCCTCCCTTCCTAGTAGAAAAAAGTTCATTACTTTTGTTGGCACCATGCTTGATTTCATCTACCCCCTTTCTTCTATTTTTTTTGGGCCTACCTCTTTTTTGGGTACATCTGGTGGGTTCAAGATGTGCCCACTGCCACTAACGTAGTCATCTTTACCAGGAACTGCATGAACATCTTGGTTATAACATGCCATGTACACCTCCTTTGAATATGAATTGTCAATGTAATCTTCAACATCTTTTCCATATGTGCATATGACTGCCATAGCATGTTCACATGGGTATGCTTGTAGCTGGAACATGGAACATGTGCACTCTTTCTTGTCAAGATCCACCACAACTCGTAGAAGTGCATATTGCTCCTCAGCATAATTGTTTTTGTACCTTCTCTCCAAACTGGAAAATTCTTGTCAAATGGATCATTCAGCATGTCATCATTCTCCTCTTCATCACTTGAAGCCCACTTGTTTCTTCGGGCTTCTTCTTGCTCATCTATAACAACTTTCTTTCTCAACTTCAACTTTTTTCTCCATTTTTGCTTCATTTTTTTGTATATTTCCTTGTTAGTGCTCTCATCATTTGACCTTTTTGTAACACAATCTTCATCGCTCGAACCCTCTATCCCTTCGTATGCCTCATCAGGGACCTCATTATCATCAATTTCAGACTCAAAACCTTCCTCACCTGATTGTACATAGGTCTCATCTTCAAAATCATTTACCCCTTCAAGGTTATCCATCCATTAAGCATTGAGGTAAATCCTTTCCCTCTGGTTGATCCAGAATATTCAAAGTCACAGAATTTATCACCACTGATTATCAATTCCTCCCTATCAATTTCCTCTTCAACAATACCCAATAGCCCCCCACTAGCATTTTGGATGTTCATTGGCTCTTCAGAGATTACACCATGTTCGACCTGTAGATCTCTTGACGCCTTGTTTGATTCATCCCCAATTGCCAAAAAAGTTTTACTTGCAAGTACTTTTCCACTTTGGTCACTCCCGGCATAGACAGTAGCAACTCCTAACCCTTCATGAGCTTTTAAAAATGTCAACATATCCGAGTCACATTTAATCTCCATTAACCCATCTGATGGCTGCTTCCCCGGAGCATTGTAGAAGAAACTAACAGGATTTATATTGCCATCAATCCCCTCATACAAGTATTTCAGCTCAAATGGACTCATTAGGTCTTTATCAATCTCTGTAAATCTATGCTTTTTACCACCAACATAGCATAAGACGGGTTCATCCACAAACTTACCACCATGCCACATGAACAAATCCATTTTTCCATCATCCATTCTGCAATTAAATACATACTATATGAACAAAACCCAAACTTGCACAAAACCCAAACTTGAACAAAACAGATTTCAATCGAACCCAAACTTGAACAAACTTTAGGAATTTTATATGAACAAAACCAAAACTTGAATCAACTAACATATTTCATAAAATTAAAAGAAAAAAATATCAAATGAAATTACCTCGTGCCACCAGATTTCGCTCCAGAACTCGTGTGGTTACGTGTGGTTATTGTAGTTGAAATATCTTATGTCGTTATGTGTACTGAGTATATATGAAGGGAAGGGTAATTTAGTATTTACAATTACTTTTTATAATTATTTTCTAGGAAAAGAAAAAAGGGGGCAAGTGTGCAATGCTTTGCATATTAGAGGGGTGATTGCTGCACTTTTAATTGTTTAGGGGTAAACCGTGCACTTTCGGAGAATTTCGGGGGTAATCCGTGCACTTTTCTCTTTTAACAAAATCATACAATAAAAAAGTATTAGAAGAGAGGACGTGAAATGCAAGACATTTTAAGCTGCCGTCCAAGCCACACATCGTCGTCGTTCCAAAAGGTGGAATCGCCCACCCTAGGCGCCCCCACCCCCTTGCCCGACAGGAATGGTGGAGGAAGTAAATCATGGTGACCAAGGTCAAGCCACACATGATATGATGCTTTAATATCTATCTCATCTCCATTCTGATTATGTTGAGTCACCAAGGATCAAGTGACATTGAACCTTGATGTCATAGGATGACTCGGGGGTGCTTCGGTGTCCCGTTCGTAAATTTGACGGTTCCTACCCCCCTAACCCCCCGGTAAACCCCCCACCCGGACTCGACCCGAACACACCTCCCACCCCCTTCAATTGTACCCTACAAGTTGATTTTGACTTTGGAGTCAAATTTTGACTCCAAAGTCAAAATCAACTTGTGGGGTGCAATTGAAGGGGGTGGGGGGTGTTCGAGTCAGGGCCGAGTGGGGGTTAGGGGGGTAGGAACAGTCAATTTTACGAAAGGGGCACCAGAGCGCCACCGGGTCATCCTATAACATCAAGGTTCAATGTCACTTGAACCTTCCTCTTGTTGAATTTTAATTTTTACAATCAAGTATTTTTAACATTTGACATTTTCTTAAATAAAAAAATATAATATTATAATGTATTGATTTGATAAAACAATATTTTAAAAGTAATTTATAATAAAAATAATTTTCATATCAATATCTACTATCAATATAATAAATTTTAATTAGTGGCATAAGTTTTCCAATTTTGAGCATGAAAATTCAAAATTAAACGAATACTCAGAGACTAGACTTGTGCAAACAAGGGTCGGCCCGTCCAGCCCACCCTTTAAAAATGACGGATATAGACAACCATTAATACCCACATGGGCGGGCTGGCCCAAGCCCAAATTATATTTGGGTGGATCTGGAAGTTACTTTTAACCCATCCGGGCTAACATGCTCGCCCGTATTCATCAAAAACATTAAATTTATTATTAATTATGTAGCCAATTTAATTTTAAAAAAATTGTTAGTTCATGTATAGTGGTTCAATTCACTTGCCTCTCTTAAACAAAAATTAATATTTGTTAATGAATTAGTATGATGATTTATTAATTACGGAGTATACAACAATACCTTTGTTATGCTTTCTATGTAAATTTAGTGAGTGATAATTTTATTTTAAATATTGAAAAAAGAGTTCAATGTTTTTTTTTATTTTTTTGTGCAAAAAAAATTTTCTTGGTGTTTTATCCGGGTCGGGCGGCTTGGTCGGTAGTTCGGCCCGCTAAGGTGGGTGGGTATGAGTAAAGAGTTTAATCATCAAATTTGGGCCGGGCTAGACCCACACATGACCCATGTAAATGGGTAATATTTATCCAGCCTGGTCCTGATCTTGCCAAGATCTTGATTTACACAGGTGTATCAGAGACAGAACATAGAGGTAGTAAATGTTATATCAACTAAATTTAAATAAAGAAAGTGAAAGATAATATTTCATGATTACCGAATAGATAAATAAAAAATAAATTTAAAACTCAAAACATATACTCCCTCCGTCCTAAAATTAACTTTTTATTTGACTTTTCACGGTCTCCAATGCGGCACTTTGACAATTAATATCTTCATTTTTATATGAATATATATTATCAAAATAATATATTTCAAAACTATGTTTCAAAATGAATCTATTGATACTAAATTTATATAAATATTCTATATATTTTTTCCGTAATATGAAGTCAAAGTTTAAAAACTTTGACTGCGAAAATCAAAATGAGAAATTAATTTTAGGACGGAGGAAGTAATATTGAATGAATTACATAGTATATCATATTTAATATACTTATACAAAAATCTACATTTATATTCTATTTAACTACATACCCCCTCCGTCTCAGAGTATTTGTCCACTTTCATTTTTACACACAATCTAATGCACTTCTTTAATCCATTTTATCTTGTAATTTGTGTATTAAAAAGTTATAGATATTATATATTAATAATCTATATGTTAAGAAGAATCAAACAAGATCACACATGACTATAATTAGGCTTACACATTGAGAGAATTTGATGGGTCAAAGTGCTTAGATAAACAATTTCAAAAGTCAAAAATGGGTAAAAACTGGAAGACGGAGGAAGTATATATTAAAAATATTTATCCGGGCGGGTGCCGAGTAGGATGAATTTGGATCCGACCCAATAAGAAAATTCGTGACAATGTTCTAATTGAAATTTTCAGGCACTTACCACAAGTGGCGGATACAAGAATTGAAGTAGATGGGGGGCAACATTGATAGGAGGTCGAGGGGCAGCGCCCCCAAATTTTTTTTTTGGAATATTTGAAATGATAAATAAATATGGTTTTTCTTTCAAGTATTTATTAAATGTAAAATGTTTTAAATAGGTAAGTTGAAATTTTATTTTTATAATCAAGTAATTATATGCAATAAAAACCACTTTACTAAAAAAATTACTCTCTCCGTCCTCAATTTGATTACAAATTGCGGGTTAAAGAGTAAAATTTTCTCTTTTTTGAAATCATTTTATATACAAATTGGTATATCATATTATCAATAAGATATAAAAATTACATATTAAAAAACTATGTCAAAAGTTCTACAAAACAAGTGGTGACAAGAACATTTTATTTTATCAAATACTTAATGAAATCGCGTAAAAAATTAAAGTTATCGAGAGGAGAGAAAAAAATTACAATCTATTTAGTAACAAAGGGTGTAAACAATAAAAATTTAAATTCAGCCTAATTAGATGGGTTCATTTTTTCCATTCTATTAAATGACTGTAGTAATAACTATTTTCATCTAAAAAATAACTGTAGTAATACTCAATTAAAATTTTAAAATTTTCAATCTTAAAGCGTGGATCACAAATAATACCTATTTTATAAATATCAGGAATGTACAAATAATAAGCACACCATTTATTTATCATAAGAGAGACATAAGGGTACAAATCCGGATCAGCCTTACTTTCACGAAAACATGTTGCGATTGTAACACACTCTTTAAAAAATGTATTTGTAGTTGGTTGGTAAACATGAGAATTGCGTCCCCTCTACCAGAATAAATCTAATCGAATTCTTCATCCGTCATAGCGTCCCCGATTAAGTGATCGGGGATGGTAGGAAAGGAAGAGACGGAGTGTCTTCCTCGAGAACCGCATCCGCGTGAGGTCGAACTGTCGGAGGTGGCTTTAGCTTTGCCTTTCCTCAAACTTCGGTTTACGTCGCCCATATCCACAGACCTTCTACCGGACTCTCTCGACATTTTAATATATATTATTTTGATATTAAAAAAATATATTAATTTTGGAAAATTTAAAAAAATTTCAAAATTTTATATATTAAAATTTCGAAAATTTCAAAAAGTAAAGAATATATTTAAAATATAACTTATGTATTTTTTGAATTAAATAAAATATTAAATTTCAAAAATTTAAATTAATTTCGAAATTTTATATATTAATATATAAAATATTTTTAAAAAATATATAAAAGATAATAATAAGAATATAAGATTGAGATTTGAGAGATTTATAGATTGAGATAATCAGAGATGGATTGAGTGATTTTTTTTGAAAAAATGGGAGTATTTATAAGTTTATCCCCCCTCCCCCCTTCCCCCCAATGGCCCAATGCTTCAAACGGCTATTTAGCCGTTGAGGCAGGCCCCCGCCCTTTCTATTTTTTCGCAGGTCTGCAAAAGCAATGGAGCATGCAACGGTTATGAAGCAAAAAGAAAAAAAATTATACCGGTACCAGAACCGAACCGGTACCGGCACCGACGGGACGAGACGGCGTGACGGTGGCGGGTACCGGTGGTACCGTCGCCGGTCACGGTACCGAACCGGTACCGTGTCCACCCATAATATATACATAAAAATTATTAAAAGCCCGCATGGGCAGCTCAGTTGGTCAAGAGCGTGAAATCTTTGGACCGATAACCAGGGATCGAGTCCCGCAAGCAGCAGTGTGAGAGCTATCCAAAAATCCTATAAAGGGTGAGGAGGCTCCTTGTGCGCGGTGGGCACGAGTTTAGTGTTCTTGGCCGACTGGGTCACCATGATTTACATCCTCCACTATTCCTGTCGAGCAAGGGGATGTGGGCGCCTGGGGTAGGCGATTCCACTTTTTTGGACCGATAAAAATTATTAAAAAAAATATTTTTATGTTTACTCCGTATTACAAAAACTTAGTGGGGGTGGGGGGGCATTTGCCCCCTACTCCAAACATACTCCATACAAGTGGATCCGCGACTGGGACCGGGTAGGGTTGTTCTAACTTCTAAGGAGAGCCTCCGTCGCGCAATCTGCTCTCATTTCGCAGGCAACATGAACACGAGAAAGACGGTGACTGAACCTGCCGGCGGCGAAGGTTCAGCATTTAGTTCCGTCGTCCAGAGCTCGGTGCGTTTACTCCGTAATTACTTTTATAATCCGTAATTAGTCTTAGTCATAAACGCCGTTATTAGTTTTATTTCCACAAAATTAGTCAAAAGGTTTTCGTTAAATATCCGTAGTTAGTTTTCGTTGTATACTCCGTGATTAGTCTTATTTTCATGAAATTAGTCAAAAGGTTTTAGTTATATACTCCGTAATTGGTTTTAATATTATTATCCATAAAATTAATTCTAAAACAATCCCATAAACCCTTGGTCTCCACCCACATAGCCCCACCCCAACTACTGTCGAACCATCATCCGACAAATGTGCAACCCCCAGGCCCGCCCCGGCCTTCTCCTAAAAACCACTTTCTTGAATTTTGGAAAGAAACAAAGGGAGAACAATAAGTTCACTTGCAAATTACAGAAGAAATATCAATTTCTATAATTGAAGTAACGATTCAACAATATAAAATTGATTCTTTAGCCTCCGTTTCATATATGAAATTCAAATAATGGAATTGGACTTGGAAACTTCAATTCTAATTCTGGTGTTTGGTAGCCCAAAAATATACAGATAATCAGTAATGCAAAACATGAATTGGAATTGGAGAATTCAATTTCGTTGAATTCGATTTTATAGAATTTGAATTGCAACTCAATTCAAATTTCATCAATTCTGTTTACCAAACGGATCCTTGTAATCCAAAATTCACTTTACCAATCAATTGTAACACAGTGAATTTCAGCAATGGTACCTGAACTTTCTCGAGAATTTCGATTCGATACCTAAACTTTAAAACCTTTCACAAAAATATCTTAACTTACATAATTTTTTCACTAAAAATCCATTTACCTGTTTTCAGATTAATTTTCCGATCATTTGGGCTAAATTAAAATTGTATATATTTTAAAATTTGTAATTTGACCACATTTCTTTTTTTTTTCTTCTTCTTTCCCCTCTCTCTCTCCTTTTTTTCTTCTTCTTTCACCCACTTTCTTCTTCTTCAAAGCCTCCCTCACCCCACCCCACTCAAGTCCCACCCCGCTAGTCTCCTCTCTCTCCCTTCTTTTTTTTTCTTCCCCCTCCCACTCCCTTCTTTTTCTTCTTCTTTCACCCCCTTTTTTCTCTTTTCTTCAAAGCCTCCCTCACTCCACCTCACTCCCAGTCCCACCCCGTCAGCCTCCCACTCTCTCCCTTCCTCTTTTTTTTCCAGAATTTTTATCTTTTTTGTTAACAAAGATTTTAATTTTAATTCATATTTAATGCATTATATTTTTTCATAAAAATAATGTAAAAATTACTCCCTCCACCCCAAATTGAATTACAATTTCTCATTTATGTATATTCATCATATGTTATTTACTCCCTCCACCCCAAATTGAATTACAATGTTAAAAAATTACTAATAAATCTTTGAACGGTGTCTCGTTCGTAAAATTGACGGTTCTTACCCCCCTAATCCCCTAGAAAATCCCTCACCCCGCCCCGACCCGAACACACTCCCCACCTCCTTTAATTGCACCCCACAAGTTGATTTTGACTTTAAAGTCAAATATTGACTCCAAAGTCAAAATCAACTTGTGGAGAGCAATTGAAGGTGTTAGGGGTGTGTTCAGATCGGGGCGGGGTGGGAGGTTTGCAGGGGGTAAGCATGATAGGAACCGTCAATTTTACGAACGGGGTACCAGAGCACCCCCAAGTCATCCCACGATATTGGTTCCCAATGTCATGGGGACCTTGGTGTAAATCTTTTGTTTTTGTTTCTATCTTTTGTGTTAACAAACATCTTGTCTTTTTTTTGTTTGGTATTTTTATATATTTATTTTTCATAAAAAAAGTTGATTGGTGATACCAAAGAACTAAAAGTGGTTTTATATCAAAATTGATGAGCACAGAGTATAATACTTAGAAATACAAATTTTTATTTTGGGAGAAAAAGGTTAGGCTCGTGAAGAAAAAAGGCCCCGTAATTAAAGGCTTTGTTGTGTTAAAAAACAAAAGAGATGTTTGTGAAAATAAAAAAGGTGAGGTGTCGTGAGAGGAAGTGTGGATTTTACATATTCATATACCCATTTGTAAATAAATTGATTTTAAAAAGTGTGGATTTTATCTCATAAATGAGTGTTAAATATATTAATTATTTTTATATATTTAATATTATATATTATATTTATGATTGTTACTTATTATAACTGGAACTATTATAATACAATATTTTCTTATTTATCTAGCCATTAATATGGAGAATTTTAGAACACTTCAACTCCACCTATATATTCATTACATTGTATTCCTCTAAATTATTCAATCAATGAAGCATTCTTTATTATTTTTACATGATATCAGAACCTTCGTTCTGGGAGACCTAACCTGTTTCCGCTTCTTCCGTTGCCGTCGTCGGTGGTTTGTCCCGCGACGGCGGCCACAACTTCACTTAGCTTGTTCCTCCTTTGATCCTAATTCTTCACAATTCCATGTAGCAAAAAAAAAATTCCCAGCCAATCACAATTATCCATCTCTCGATCCATCACCGCCACTCCTTGACTTAAGATGAGATTGTCACATCAGCTTGCTCAGTTAGAAAATCTTCAGTTGACAAGCATCCCTAGCAACACTTCACTCTCTTAGTTTCTCTAAATTAGTCGTTAACGACTCGAGCGCACGTCAACCTTCTCCCGCATTCAACATTAGCAGCATGAGTTTGTTCTCATCAGCTCTTCTTTTCTCATCATCAGTGCTGTCATATCTCTTTTCTAGCAATCTTTCCTCTTCTCTTCTGTCGGGATGCATTCAGTCTACTCTAGTCAAAGATATGCCTCCAGCTTCTGAATACAATTCTAGTCACGATTCAAGTAAAAGTTGGCGTTCAATCTTCACCTCCCAAGACGTTGGTAGCATGTTAAATATATTAATTATTTTAATATATTGACTATTATATATTATATTTATGGTTGTTACCTATTATAACTAGAATTATTATAATACAATATTTCCCTATTATCTAGCCATTAATTTGGAAAATTCTAGAATACTCCAACTCCACCTATATATTAATTACTTTGTAGTCCTTTAAATTATTCAATCAATAAAGCATTCTTTATTATTTTTACAATGAATAAATTGTAATTCAATTTGGGGTGGAGGGAGTAATTTTTACATTAATTTATAAAAAAATATAATACAATAAGTAACAATAAAAAAAATAAGATGTTTGTTAACAAAAAAGATAAAAAAAATCTGAAAAAAACGAAAGGAGAGATTGGGGGGCTAGCGGGGTGGCAGGGACTAGGGGTGGGCATGGGCTCGTCCGAGCCAAGATTTGTATAAACCGGACTCGTGTTGTTTTTATTAAAACGATCTGGGCCGCAACTGGTTTTCAAAATTTTAAAATTGAAACCGGACCTATCCCGGCTTGTTTGAAATGAGCCGATTCTACGAGTTAACGGGTCCAAACCTACCATGATGCTAATATTAAAAAAATAAAGGGACAATAAATTAATTTAGGTCATCCAACACAAAAAAGAGACGTAAATGAAAATAAAACAATGACAAAGAGGGGCATGAGAGTAAAGTGTACACCTCATGATCATCCAATAACAACAAAAAAAAGAAGACAACTACATTTTGGCATTATAATGTCAATGGGTTCTAAAAAGAACAAAATTTACAATCTTCATAGGTTCCAAGTCTCTGACTATGAAAGGTTTTCTCACTTTTCTGTCTGTGATTGGAAGGACCACAAGATTAAAGAGCCTAGGCATGTATATTTCCGTATATCTATATATTTACTAGAAATAATATTAAAAATAATATTGGGATTTAAAAAAACGGTCCAGTCTGGGTCCAATACAATTTCAAAATTGGGAACCGGAACGACCCTAAAATCTATAATGACCGGACCGACTTGAACCGTTTGAAATTTTTGAAAAGAGGACCCGACCCTAACTTGGAGCGAACCTAGCGGTCCGGTTTTGACTCCTGGTTCTTGTACCCGATTGCCCACCCCTAGCCGGGAGTGGGTGGGGTGTGGGATGGGAGGGGGAAGAAGAAGAAAAAAAGAAATTGGATCAAATTGAAAACTTTAAATTATATAAAATTCTAAATTAGCCCAAATGACCTGAAGTTAACTTGGAAACAGATAAATAGACTTTTAGTGAAATGATTATGTAAGTTGAGGTATTTTGTGAAAGGTTTTAAAGTTTAGGTACCGAATCAAAATTTTCGAGAAAGTTCGGGTACCATTGGTGAAATTTACCCGTAATCTAAGTTTGCAAATTCCAAACAAAGCTAAATTAGACATCTATTTAAAAAAAGAAATTAAAAACAGACCAGATATTTCTTCTAAGAATTGTACTCCCATCATTCTAAGGTTTACATGTAAAACGTAACTTTTTCACACTTTTAGTGACTTTACATGTAGATCTTTTATTTTTTTCCAAAGAGCTTAATTCATTTATGGTGTTTATATACTATGGTCCAAAAAATGAGCGTGAACCATAAGGCTACGAAAGAATTTGACTTTTTTTCTAAACCATTTACAGATTTGCAATGTCAACAAAATAAAAATTGAAATAAGGGAATTTTTTTAACGCATAAAAGAATAAAGACCCAAAAAAACTAAAGGTATGTTTGGTTGGAGGAAAAATATATTTCCCGAAAATTTTACTACGTAATTATGTTTTCCCATGTTTAGTAACATAAAGCTATAGGGTGTGCCATGCAGGAAGCCAATAAGGGAAGGCCTGGTGGCGCGGGAAGGGGAGGAGTTCACCCCCCTATGTGGGAACTGGAAAGACGAGATCCCCTTTCCTATTTTTCCCGTCTTACTCTGTGCCCTCCAGTTGGCGATTTTTGACCATTTTCAATTGTCAAATTCTTTTTATTGAATTCCATTTCAAAGGGAAAAAATTAAAACCCATTGTAAATGAATTTTAAAATTTCTTGAACTAAATTGCAATGCATATCAATTTTATTCTTTTTATCTAAACAGGCACACAGAACAGCTACCGTGGGTTCAGACGCTAGAGTCTCGTTAAAAGATCAAGATGGTTTTCGAATTCGTGAGATTATTCATGTTTTTTCTTGTTTTACTATTCCTATGCATCAAATTAGTTAAGAGTTTCATGGAATTATATGGTATCTTTTACCTATGCTTTCAGTTTGTGATGACTACCATAAAATTGAACAATTTACTTCCAAATTAGTTGGGGGAGATTGTGGGAAAAAGCATGCACATATATTGATGAGATAATGGTAAGTAATGATATCTTTTTAAAAAAATTGCAATATTCACATTGATAGTCTGTTACAGATTCATTATGTATTTATAGGATTCTGAGAGTAAAAAAGATGTAGAAGTATTTGCCAAGGAAATAGCTGAATATATGAACACGATTGATCTAGAGAATGATGATATCGAAATGTGGTTTGGTGCGTCCAAAGGGAACAACCCTCGCCTATTTTCGGTCATGGTTCGACCGGGGAGGAAGCAATCAGTTTTGAAGGAACTGTTGTCCAAAAGTAGAGGAGGAAGAGATGTCTACTCCAGCGGATCACATGGTGCTGCTTCTGCCCAATTCCTTATACATTCGAATACGCAGGGGTATTAATTAAACTCTTAATTATGTACTACTTTATTTTAAACAACTCACTTTATAAACAATTTTAACCTTTGGAAATTTACACTTGCACAGTACTTTACACCGTCTTACCTTGGATGCAATTATTCCACATATTAAGTTTGGAATACTTGTGGGGGCGTTGGACGACATATGGAGCGGTGGACGCCTAAGAGGTAATTTCTTTTTATATGTGAAGAATTTAATACTTCTCTCGCCTCAATTTATAGTAAATGTTCACTGTTCACAAAGTCGAATTTCATTCACTTTCTTTCTCTATTTATGTGTACGTTAGCAATTTGATAAAATAAAACATTACTGTCACTACTAGTTTTGTAAATCTCTTGATGTAGTATTTTAATATGTAATTTTAATTTCTTAACTTTATACCATTTGTCATATAAAATGATTTGAAAGTAATTCTAGTGAAACATACAATATAAATAGGGACGGAAGGAGTAATATTAATCTTGATAATTACAAAGGATCCACCTCCCGACATTTATATAAAGGAGGGATACAAATATGTAACAATAATAAAAGGAATCCTATACAAAATAAGAAAGTATCAAATATAAATAATACGGAGTATAAAATATGCTACTCCATCGTTCAAAAAATTTCTTTTCTAATTTGACTTAACACAAAGATTAATAAAAAAATTAAAAAATGTGAAAATTTTTCATGTGTTGCACTTCATTACAAGTTTTTCTCCCTCCGTCCCGGAGTATTCATCTAAGCACTTTGACTCATCAAATTCTCTCAATGTGTAAGCCTAAATATAGTCATATGTGATTTTGTTTGATTTGTCTTAACATATAGATTATTAATATATAATTTCTATAATATTTTTAATATACAAATTACAAGATAAAATGGATTAAAGAAGTGTATTGGATGGTGTGAATGAAAGTGAACAAATACTCTAGGACGGAGGGAGTACTAAAATAGAAACAAGAAAGAAATTTTTGGATAGCCTAGAAAGGAAAGTGAGAAAGAAAATAGTGACATAGAGGAAACACCCGTAAGTAGTGTGGAAACCATCCAAAAGAAGCATATAAAATTTAAAGCTAGTTATACTAGCACATGAGATTGGCATTAATCTATGTGCATTAATTAATTGAAGAGGGAAAGTAAAAATACAACCAGACAAAGTAGATGGGAGATGAATATGTTTTCCAAGTTGACAAACATGATACAAAAAGGTTATAAATCTTTATTAAATAAAGAAATAAGGCTAGGGACTCCAGGAAGGACTGTCAGGGTGTCCAAGATGACTGTGCCACATTTGAACATCAGCAGAGGCAATGCTGACCTGGGCTGCCAGGTGGGCACATGGGATATAGAGGGCCTTCGTTATTGGACCGATGAATCAAGGTTCTCGTCCAAGGGTCTTTCAAAAAACTTATTAGAGTCAAAGTCACCAACACAATTATTATCTCGGGCAAACTGATATAAGGTTGTGAATAGTATGTGGAAAAAAAGAAAATTATTAAGGGAGAGGGGTGAGGAGGTGGGAAAGAGGGGGTTACAAACAAGGCCTCTATACGTATTTTAGAACTTGATCGGTGTATTTACACTCTGACCATGTCCCAAGTCGGTCTATCGGAAACCTACCCGGGTGGATGTCTAGATTGGCACGATAAGTAAATGAGACAAGATATGTTTACCCAGTCAAAAGTATCATAGAGCCTACTCGGGTGTTATTTCCATGACCAGGTAAACCCGAGATGATTCAACAGGCAGCTAGGCTGACCTTTAAAGTTTATCTAAGTGTGAATCCTAGACTTGTGAGTTTCAAATTTAAGATTGCGAGTAAGTGGTGTTAGGCCAGGCCTAGTTGTGTAGAGGTAACCTTACCAAGTTGAGTCCCATGCACCTACCTGACGTAACAATAGCAGAGAAAGCATAGTGTAGTTACTTGGTTGGAGTGTCTTGAAGACTACCACATGGCCGGGTGGAAAGCACGATGTGGACTGATAGATCATTGATAAGGTGGTTGGTAGACTTGATGCTCACATTTGAGAGATCACCCAGGTAACTTTGGACCACAAGCCAACCAGGTGGATTCCAACCTCATACAACAACAAACCTTGCATGCTAATCTGATTGTATTTACCTAGAGTTTACTCAGGTTATTTGTGGGTGACTGGTAAAACAGCATAGCGCTGCCGAAAAGATACTCTATTGATCAAGACGTTCCTTTTGGAAACTACTCGGGTGGATTTTTAGGACTTGATGTATTGGCATGATAATAGCCTGGTGCAATCAAATGAAAGTGACTTGGTCGGGCTGGATTCCCTTGCACAAGCGGGCTTATCCAGGCATATAATCTCAAGCACTATGTACCAATAGGTACAATTACAAAGGCAAAAATCTAGGGAATAAGGGACAAACACTACAAGACAACAAAGTATCACATCTTTTACTTTATCACGTAGCAAGCGCGTGGATGAGTGCATGCTACCTTATCCCCTAGTTCACTATAAATACGCTTGTAACTCTTAGTAGAAGGGATTTGAAGTCCCTCTCTCTAGAAGTGTATTGTGCAATATCTCAATGTAACATTCTCATACTTTAATAATAATCAGACTACGGGTGTTCCAACTTACAGTCCTCCCGGCCAAACTCAAATTTTAGTGTTTTTAGTATCAGAACTCAACAAATCACCATAGACCCGGTCTGGAGTAGTTTGACCACGTAACTAATTTACACCATCAGAACTATTGCCAACAGTGATGAATGATGGTGAATTTAAAGTTTGAGAACTAAATGGGAGACAGTAATTGTTCTGGAAGCAATATGATGAGATGCATTGGTCCATGAACCACGTGGGTTTACAGAGGGTCATGGAGTCAATATAGTGAGCTAGGGTCGTGGGTGTTTGGGGTTGGGGGTAGTCGGGTAGAACCTGACGGGGTGGGTGGCTGTTGGGCATGGGTATGGATATTGGGTATGCTTTGGGTTTGGGGTACGGGTACGGTATGGAGTATTGAGATTTGTTTGACATAAGTAGGTTGGGTGTAATAGGGTTGGCGTAGGTATGGGTTTGGGTTTAAGTGAGGTCTCAAAAGACCTAGGCTTGGGTTTTAGTTGGGGATCTGCCAAGGTACATAACTGGAGAAATGGGATTTGGATTCAACCCTGAGTTTTGACCACATCCTTGCCTGTAATAGGACTTTTTGCCCCAACTATTGTTGCCACTGTTGTTGCCCTGACCACCGCTACAATAACCATATACGTCGCTGCATCTCCATGTAACATTCACATACTTTTAGTGTGTTTTTATTATCACAAATCAGCAAACCACCCTAGACTCGGTGTGGAGTAGTTTGCCCGAGTAACTAATTTACACTATCAGAAGCATTACCAACACTGATGAATAATGGTAAATTTAATGCTTGAGAACTAACATGAGAAATAGTATCTGTGTTAGAAGTAATATGATGACATGCAATGGTGTCCACAAACCACATGGGTTCACAGAGGGTCATGGAGTCAAAGTAGTGAGCCAAGGCGGTGGATGTTTGGGGTGAGGGTCTATTGGGTAGAACCCGAGGGGTGTGGTGGCTATTGGGTATGGGTAGGGGTATTAGGTGTGGTTTAGGTATAGGGTACGAGTAGGGTAGAGAGCATTAGGATAAGTGGGTTGAGTGTAGTAGGCTTGGGCCGGATACGAGTTAAGGCTTGGGTGAGGTTCGAAATGACCTGGGCTTGGGTTCTGGTTGGGGATCTGCGAAGGTACATAACTGGGGTAAGTGGGCTTTGGATTCAGCCTTGAGTTTTGACCACATCCTCGTCCACGATAAGGATTTTCGCCCCAACTGCCGATCAGCACAAGGAGAAGAAGCCGATTAGCGGGGAGGAGATCAACGAGGAGGAGGGGTGATTGGTGTAGGCTAGGCTAGGGTTGGCTCCGATACCGTGAGAAAATGTATAATATTAATCTCGATAATTACAAAGAATCCACCTCCCCAGATTTATATAAAGGATGGATACAAACATAGTAACAATAATAAAAAGAATCATATATAAAAGGAGAAACTACCAAATACAAATAATACTCCGTATTAAATATGTAAATAATTAATAATATCATTTTCTCATCACTTTGTGTATATTCAAATATAATTTACACTAACTTGTTAAATTTGGTTGATAGTGTGTCATATAAGACCAGGTGGTTCAGATGTGCTATGCGACCAAAGATTAATTGAGGCATATCATGATTTTTTCGATGAGGTTGAACGTGATGGAAAAAGCATTTTGGTGTTCATTCCCAAAGAATACAAGCCTCTCACATCCCGCAATGTCGTTGATTATTTCAGAGATTTGAGGTATATGGGATTAATTATTACGGAGTACATGGTAATAATATATAAGCTAATTAAATTAGAGCTATTTTTGTTTTAAAACAAATTGAACATTCATATTTATTTTGACAGTGACAGGGGAAAGGCTATGTCTACTGCTTATCGATTAGGAGTGTTGGGGGATGGGAACTACCTCTACAGATTGAGGTTTAGTTCAAAAATTGCGGCTGCCAATACATTTAAAAGCTTTCAAGTGTGCAATGAAAGTTACGAAGATGACAAGAAAAAAGTATTGGCAGGGATGATATGCAATTGGACGGAGCATGACAAATATATTTACGCCCAACCCCCTTCAAAGATGTTAATTGCTACTCTTTTGGCAACTTTCTTGGATAAAGATGCAATGGATGAAACTTTAAAAGTAACTGAAGGGGCGAAAGAAGAACGCTGAGGTAATTTCCAGGCGTGCGCACATGTGGATCGAGCACCCCATCCTGAGCTAATTTCCAGTTGTGGCAAGTCCTACACTAACACTATAGCATTCTGAAGTGCTAATCATAATATTAGAATTACATTACCACTATGGTTATGATGTGTGTGTGTGTGTGTAGGACATGTCATTTTTCCCCTATGTGGCAGCCAGAGTGAATGGAAATTTGTTTAACGTCCCAGCCAGATAGGATCGAGAATCAGACCTTTGCATCAGTCTCCCAACTTGTAGAAAACACTGTGCCGCCGCCGCTGAGTCTCTCAAATCGCAATTACTCGCCGGTTACGCATCAAATTAGTGGTCGGTTACATACGAATGTCAGGGGTTTTGTGTTTCCTGCCTTTCCCGCTGCCCTCTATCCGATTGCAGGTGAGTGATATTTATTTTTTTGTGGGAATTGGTGTATTAACTTGGAATGATTTTCAATTGTGGCCGTTTGTGGCTTTTCGGTGTCTGGGGTTTTGCCACTGTTCTCCCCATCTATATATACAGATATGAATTGGGTGTGAACTTGCAATAACATACAGTGAGTTTACAAAGAGATTTAGTGTCCTATAAGTTTCGTGTTTTTCTCCACCATGTCTTCACCCATGTGTAGTTTACTTGGCAAGAAGATGGATGATCACATTGCTATCCAGAGACTGACACGGGAGTCAAGCAATTGTGCGATTAAGGCGCGTGTTTCTCGAATGTGGGATGCATACAATTTGAAGAATAAGAATGATATAATTAGTATGGATATGGTGTTGATTGATGAGGAGGTAATGTTTCTGGCTTTTAGTTTATGCCTTTGGTCTTTTCTGTTTTAACATGTTTTGTTGTTATTCTTAAGGGGTCATATATCCATTCCATCAAAGGAAGTTGGGCACATTTGTTTCGTGGTACAATTGTTGAAGGTAGTGTTTATTATATTAAGCATTTTGGCGTGGTTGATAACAAGAACCGGTATCGTGTTGTGGGAGACAACAAATTCATGCTCCACATGTATGCAAATTCTACTCTTATACCACTTGCTGATGAAACATCTAACATCCCAATGCATCGCTTTGACCTACTACCATTTGATATGGTTCACACAAGAGTGGGCCAGGATTATATCCTTACAGGTTGTGTAAACGTGGCCTGAATATATTTCCCATGTTAAATCTGCCTTTCAATATACCAACAACATTTATATGTGTGCAGATGTAGTTGGACGTGTTTGCAGCGAGGGCAAGATTGAGGAGAAGGCCATTTTTAACCGTATGGTCCCATGCCTTATGCTAGAACTGCAGGATGTGAGGTAAGAGCTACTTAAGAAATATATTTGTATATAACCCTATAGTCTCATGCATTGGCTATATATATGTGTGTCTCTTTCAAGGAAAAAAACATTTGATGTTAATACATTACATTGATATATACATGTATTTTCGTATTTAAATACATTACATTTTATTTTGCCGAATTGAAATCTGAATTTCCTTACTAAACCATATTCATTATTAATTTTCCATGATGTGTTTGTTTTATTTAGATTTGTAATCCCACAAAATATGGTTATTCAGGGAAGTAAAAATGAGGCTTACTCTTTGGGATGATTGTATTGCGGCTTATATGGACCAAAAAAAGGGATCAAAGGGAACATTATTGCCGACGTTTTCACATCTAATATCGTCAAGGAATTCATGAGTACGGAATTTGTATTGGAAATCATAAAATTTAAATATATAAAGATTCACTATTTTTGACTTTTAATGTGTGTAATCACAGAGTCCCCTACTTTATCTTCCACCACGGCGTCAAAAGTGTTCTTGAACATTGATATTGATGAAGTTTTGGGCTTGAAAAAGAACAAGTATGTAGTCCTTTTTAGTACATGAAAATTAATGATCCATGCGCTAATATTGACTATATTTTCACACACTTTCCTAACCTTACAGTGTTTGGGCAAATGAATCAACAATGCAACCACTGATATTCCAGAGAGAAGTTATCAACAGAGACACTATTTTAGCCGGTTTGAAAAATGTTGCTGATATTCTTCGTATTGCTACCTCTAATTTTGAGATTGTACGTATACGGATGCTACATTTACAAATTGTTTAATACTCATGTATATCCTATGTTTTAGTTTATTCTTTTAAACATGTACAGGGCACATCTTATTTTTGCCATTCTTGGATATATGATATCAACAAGAACAGTGGTTGGTATTACAATTCATGCCGCAATTGCAAACGGTTGATCAAAGCATGTGGAGACAAGTTTTGGTGCAATAAATGCCAAAAAGTAGTGGATGATGCTGTTCCGAGGTATGTTGGCGGCTCGGAATATAGTTTAAAGAAGCAGGAAATGAAAGAATTTAAAAAAAAGAGAGTACTATTTTTACAATCTAAGATTATTAAAGTTGCCTTCAAGAAGATGTGACTTCGAACACATGTGATATAAATGATGATATGAATAAGTGATGCTGTGATATAAGTGCTGCTGTGAAATTATATATACTCAGATCATGGGATATACCTGGAATTCAAAACACCTAAAATACTCACTGCTTTGGTTTGGGCAGATATCGTATAGATGTTGGGGTTAAGGATGACAGTGAGGCTACAAGGTTTATAATCTTTGAAGAGGAAGCTGAGAAAACTATTGGTCAATCGGCAATGAGCGTGTATGATATAGAAGACAAAAAGGAGGTAATTTCGAAGATCAGTAAATGTCAAAGATGGTATCCCCCTGTTCCACATATTTTTTTAAAAACAAAATTAATATTTTAGGGTAATGAATCGGAGGGAGACTTGCCAGCGTTGATTGCCAACATTATTGGTCGTCGTTATGTATTTCGTGTTAAACTTACCGAATACAACAAGACTGCTTATAAGCAGAGTTTCACCGCGACCAAGGTCTTTCCCGAATCTTATTTGGGAAATGATGATAAATCCCAGGTAGAGTAAATGAAATTTGTTCCATAATTACATCCATAAAATGTAATGTTTGCTTATTCATTAATTGTAATCAAGTATATTAATCACCAGAAATGTGGGAACGCATCAAGGAGTGGCGTAAAAGATTCAATGGATGTCTCCCCCAAGTAAAATGTGCCGTTTAAGGTCTGCAATTTGTTCTCTCACTTACTAGCAGATTCAGTGACACTTTCCATATTCAATATTGCTTATTTATTTTAGTTCTACACAGTGAGGACGTACTCAACGTGAGTGGAAAGCACTTGAAGAATGAGGCGCTGAATATGCCACGACTTCAGCTACTGCTTTATTGTCTTCATATTTAAATTCCAGCAAATAAAGGACAAGTTTCCCGAATACAAGTGGATCTCCTGATAGGATGATTTAGTGTGTTTTTTTAAAATTTCTTTTTTTTTTTTATTTTCACTACGGCTACATCCAAAACTTATGTGCTCTCTTCATTATCTAATAAAATTCAGAACTTAGTTTCAAGTTTGCTTTTTAGTTGCAAATAATGAATCCCTTTGCAGTATAATTTGATTCAAATAAACAATCCATATCTAACAGTAAGTAATAATGCACACAATACGAAAGCATATGCAATGCTTTATGAACTTAAAAAGCATATGCAAAGAATATTATAATCTGGGCAGTTTTATCAGACATTTTTGCATCTTTGCCTCACAAATTTTGAGAAAACAGTAAACGCTATTGTTCCACACTTTATAATATTCCCATACCTAAAGTGCAGCAGAGAATGCGACAATATTGTTTAATCTGATTGCTGTCAATGTTATAAATCACAAACCCAAAAGAAGAATATATGTACCAGACGTTTAGAATTCATTCAAACATTGTCCAAAGTTTCTGCACTTTGTACTACTTGGTAAAATGTGTAATAGTCCATGCCTGCTATTTCATTTAGGGGCTGTTTGACAACTTCTGAATGGGTAAGTGCTGAACCAGTAAGAGGTCTGAATCATTAAGTGCTGAACCAGTAAGAGGTCTGAACCATTAAGAGCTAGTATATTGCTTAACTATTCAGAGGCAAATGTCTGATCAATTCAGATAACAGCTCTTAACCATTCAGACTCTGTATAATACTTAACCATTCAGACGCAAATCTCTTAACCATTCAGACATCTGAACCATTAAGAGGCTGAAACAAACAGTCTGAACCATTAAGTACTGAATCATTCAGACATCTGAACCATTAAGAGGCTGAAACAAACAGCCCCTTAGTCTGCTGTTCCTATATGTTGCTTTCCTCTACTTACACAAGTTTCTTGGAAAATAAAGGAATACTAAATGAACATGGATAGCATTCAACAGTACCTGTTATCAGTGGCCATGAACACTTGCTTAATAAGGTTTTAAAACGTCTTGATGCCTGGTGAGGTAAAAACATGGTCTGGCACAACGCTCATTCATATCATTTTCAGAGTGTACCTTTTCACTTTGGTTATTTTTTTTTGGGTCATAACCTGGACTCGAAGACCCATGCGTAATCTACACTTTGCATTTCCCTTATTACCAGGATCCGATTTACTGGTTTTAGGAAGTGGTTACCCAATTACATTATACTCTTCTTTCTCACTTACTAGGAATGCCTCATATTTTACCAAATGAGGTGCAAAGTCAAAGGTTGTGGTAAAAGAATGTTTGTATATAATTGGTTTGGGCTTAGGGGTTGAGAAAGACATCACTTTGAAAGGACTTGAAGCAGTGAAGAAGTGCAGCAAAATATATATACATGAAAGCCTACACTTCTCTTCCTTCTATTGGCCACTCTTCAAATGGCCTTTCTGCTCTGGTTTGTTTTGCTATTGCTCATTGCTCTGATATTTAGCTCTGGTTTGTTTCTGCTCTGGTTTGTTTTGTTTTGAGCAAATTGATTCTCGCTTCTCCGGTCGCTACAACTGGTTCTCCTTCCGTCCTGGCAAGAGCGGGTTAGAATGGCGATTTATGCCGCCTCATGTAATGTTTTTTTTAAAATTTTTTTTATTGGGGATTTGCTGCTGAGTAAATGTTGATTCATTTGGTGGCCTCTGTGCTGGTCAAATTTGATATTTTGATTTTTTGTACTTCTCCAAGTCATCATCCCTTTTAGCTTATGTTTCCATTGTTGCACTTGGCCTGTTGGACATCTCTTTACGTTTTGGCGTAAAAAGGAAACATATGATGTTTGTGGCTTTCTACCATTGCAGTTTCGTTTGCAATTATAGTCTCTGTCTATCATTGCACCTCTGTCCAAGTTCATATGTCTGTAATTTATGCTATCATCATATTTTAAATTTTCACAGGTAATTGTGTTGTCTTTAAAAAATGGGTTTTACTCATCCATGATTTTATAACCCTTTGTTCGAAAGAAATTAATGGAGTTGGGTTGTTTTTAGTTAAAGGTGCCAGGGACATGGCCTGTTGAGGAGAAGGTTGGCATCATACCGTTGGAATCCCAGTCCTCTGACATTGGTTTCCTTGTAGTTGGAGATCCTTTTGGGTATTAACTATTAATGACTCCTCCATTTAATTAAGTTCTATTTTGAGTAAGTTCTATAATTAGTCCTTTATAACAGGGGGTTTCCATATTTAGTCCTCTATTATCAAATATTACCCCGTAGTCTTTTTTTAAGGATACATTTCCACAAATGATCTTTTTTTTGATTTTCTACCGTGTTGGTGTTAATTTAAAGGCTAAAAGTATAATTTGACATCAACATTATGTCTAGTGACGTGTTCTAATATTGGTTAAGCGGATAACACAAAAATAAATAATGACTATGATTGTGGGCTAAGATTCTGACGAAAGAACACATTTGTAGACTATTATTGTAGTAGAAAGCCACTGCATGTCACAAACGATGCAAACGGAACAGCCTTTCGAATTGTGTATGACAAAATAGATATATTATCATTGTGAAATTACACTTTTATCTCTCAAATTTACACCAACATGATAGAAGATCAAAAAAGGACTATTTGAGGAAAGATATCCATAAAAGAACCAATTATTTGATAATAGATGACTAAATAGGGAAATCCCTCTGTCATAAAGAACCAATTATAGAATTTACTCTTCTATTTTCTTCATTCTTTGTTCGTTTTTATGATTACTCCTTTAATTTTTGAATTGTTGTGTGCCATTTTATTTTTATTAAATTTGTAGATTTGGCAAGTCATTTAGCTATTAATTTGGTGTCTATAATTGTTTATTTTGGCCATTGTACCTGCCAATGTTCTGTCATTTCTCCCAAAACACTAAAGAATAAAATCCATTAACAAAAACGTATCCTTAAACAAAAAACATCAAAATTTTAAAAAAACAATAACATTCTTTGACAAAATTTGAACATTATTTACAATTCTAATTTAACAATGAAAAGAATTCAATTATACTTGCATACAAACAAATTTCAAACCTACCTAATATACAAATCACAATGAAAACAATTCAATTAACCACACGCCCCTCAAATTTAACAATATACAAATCACTAATATATTCCAACAACGGCAAATCCTCCATAACATTTATAGTTTTTGCAGCAAACAGCCAATGCCAGACACCAACTCCACAACACTAAATTATATAAACTGATATATTGAAATATACACACACACCCACACAAACAAACATACATTAATGCATGCATAAAACAACTAACACAACTACTAACATAAAACGCCGATACAAATAATTCCAATCATAATAAAAACCAACTACTCCATTCATTCAAACTACAATACTAAACCGTAAATAAAAAAACCAACAAACCAAATACATATAAACAAAGAAAATGCCAACAAAAGACTAAAATAACTTAACAAACCATTACTCACAACAAACTTTGGGTTAAAACACTCAGCTCCAACAATACTAGACTACACGTCCCATCAAAGAAAAAATTAAACAATGTACCGTTACAAAACAAAACAAAACCAAACCCAAAATACCAATTTTATTATTATACTATCACATGTCAAAAACAACAAAAACAACTAATATATCCACTCAAACGTACATGTACACAACACAAAACAGAACATAAATAATAACTCCTCATTTTCTACAATCACCTAAAAACAAATTTTACACCAAGCCATAAAAACAAGCCCGTGCGTAGCACGGGGTAGAGAACTAGTTATTAGTATATGAGTATCTATATTTTTAGCAACTATGATCACGATTACTTATTTTAACCCATTGTAAGTACTGGAAAAACTCGATGGTTAGCGTGCTAGAGGATAACTACGACCGAGAAGAATTCCGTTCCCCCAAAATGAGAACATCTTATTTAACATAATATTCTAGTGGAATATTACGGAGAAGATTTTGTTTTTGCCTTGTATGAAAGTTTCCTTTTATTTCTTTTAATCCGTTCCTTGATTGGTTTGCATATTTTTGCCTTATTTCTTCGGAAAGAAAGTTTGCATACCCTAAATGAAGTTGGTATCATCATTTGATCGTTCAAATTTCAAAGAAGATAATTTCTTAGAATTTATGTTTCGCTATGACTAATAATGAAACTCAAACCAAAACATTGTGTTATTGAAAGGAGTATTATCAATTATGTTATTGAAGAATATTTATCAAGCACTTGAATTGTGTAAAGATACAAAGTTAATCGTTGAAGACTTGTGAAAAGGTTTTCGGTGCAATTTTAGTATCCACAAACAATTCAGAGAAAAAGTCTATATGGTCTAAGGCAGTGTTTGAGAAATAACATCTCATTTCAATTCTTTCATTTTAATTACAAAATTTGAATTCATGAATTTAAATGACAAGAAAATGTATATATATTTATAATTGAGCTTTGTTATGAATTAGAAGAAATTATCTAAAATCAAATCTATAATTTTAAGGTTCTCAAACATTAAATTTGAGCGAAATAAAATTTTAAGTTTCCGAACATGTTAGAATTTAGTATCATTTGATCAAGGATTATCGTTGAAGTTTCAAAGAAGATAAATTTCGACAGTTTATATTTCGCTATGACTATTCGTGAAAGTCAAAGCTAAACATATTTGTTAGATAGTATTCAATCATCGTTAACTTTATTGGAAAAAGACTAAAATAAGAGTAAAACATTGAAAATATACCAAAATATGAGTTCTATATTTTTATTCCCAAAATAGGAATTAAAATGCATTTACAGTGTCAATCATGACCGTGTACATCACCAAAAAGTATCGTGAAATGTTCATATACATTGTCAGATTATCATAGTACAAATTCTTATTTTAGGAATAAAAACATGGAGCTCTTATTTTTGTACTTTTTCTATGTTTTATTCCTATTTAAGGTAATTTCTTTAACTTTATATTGTTTTTCGCGAATGAAATTATATAAGTATGATTACAATCCTTGGAGTATTAGTTTTAGGGGAGAAAGACTAAAGTAGGACTAAAACTTTGAAAATATACCAAAATAGGACTTCCATGTTTTTGTTTTCGAAATAGGACTTATATTACAAACCATGGTCATGTACATTACCAAAAAACATAGAAATTTACACATGTACACTGCCACATTACCACAATGCAAGGTCACATTACCACAGTGCAAAGTCCTATTTCAGGAAAAAAAACATGAGAGTCCTATTTTAGTACTTTTATCTATGTTTTAGTCCTATTTAGGATGATTTCTACAGTTTTAGATGTCATTGGTAGTCCTTGCAACTTTACAAAACAATTATATATCTCGAACATTTTGAAATATTTCTAATTTAAATAAGACTTTGACATTTTTATTTCCGAATTAATAGAGTAGAATTTTTATTAGCAAATGTTATATGTTACATCATTACTTTAATTTTTAATATCTAGATTTTCTTTTATTCTATTTTTAAATAATGCTATAGTAAAGAAAATACTAATTACGGAGTATAAAAGAAAACTACGAGTATATTTAGTTTTAATATAAAATTTATATAATTAGATCTCCAAATCACATAGAATTTGGTTAAAACATGTTGAAATTGAGTGAAACTAAATTGAATGCAACTAGATAAAAATTGAGTGAAATTAATTTCAAAGTAAATGTTTGGCCAACCACACAATATTGTATTAGAGGGAGGTGAAAGTTTATTTTTACAGTGCTCTACTTTGTATAAATTTTAACCAACATTTTTATGTAAGTTATGTTATTCATTTTTATACCAAATTATTATAAAATAAATTTAGAACCTCTGAAATTTTGCATTTTTTAGATATGGTAATTTATTTTGGACATAGGAAGTATATAATTAGAGACAAAGTTAGTGTGTTTTAAAGATTAGTTGATAAATATTGGAGACAAAAATTTATCCCAATATAAAATTTATCCCAATATAAAATTTTATGGTGTAATTTTTGGAATTAGTGTTAAGAAAATTTTATTTATACTTTTTAAGTATGTAGTTTATGTGTAGAATACTTCTTATAAATATGAAAATCTGATTTTATGGTTTCCTGGATTTCAATTACTATATATATTACTCATAAAATAAAAAATTAATTTTTGGAATTTATTTCTTATTTTTCTATTTTATTACTCGGTAATTAGTTAGAAAATGAGAAAAATACTAATTACGTTCAAAATTTACTTTTAATTCATAAATATTTCCGAATAGTTAGTTTTAGCTTATATATAAAAAAAATTTAATTTTTTAAAATGTAAAGTTATATATCTATTATGTTTGAAGTAACTAAAACGCTACTGTTCACCAGTTCGGTTTTTAGTTATTTTAAAATGCAAACATAATATTTTAAATTCTGGAAAATTTGTATTCTGGTTTTGAGTCTTATTTTGAAAAATAAATTTGAATTTTTTTGAATTTCTAAATATATTTTACTAATATTGTTTCGTTTTTCTAGTCTTGGAAATGGTTTTCAAAGTTTCCAGATTAATTAATTTTATTGGGTGTTTCCAATAATTATTTTTTAATTTAGAAAATATATATGCATTTAACTCAAAATAAAATCCCATTTTCGAATATATATATATATATATATATATATATATATATATATATATATATATACACATACATATATATATATATACATACATACATACATATATATATATATATATATATATATATATATATTAAACCCCTCACCCCGACCCGAACACACTCCCCTACCCTCTTCAATTGCACCCACAAGTCGATTTTAACTTTGGAGCCGGAACCGTCAATTTTACGAACGGTGCACCGGAGCGCCCCGGGTCATCTCATGACATTGGTTCCCAATATCATGGGAACCAAGGTGCTTTATTAAATAATGATGTCTTGATCAAATAAAATAATCTTATATCACAATTTAAAATTTAAATATTTAAAACCTATTGTCATGTATCGCCCATCCACCCATACCCATATTCACAATTAGGGGTGGGCACGGATCGGGACGGTCCGGTTTTAGGTTGTCCCACGTCTTGTCCCGTTATATATAAACGGTCTGGAACGGTTCGGATTACAACCTTATCCCGGTTTGTCCCATAAAATTCGGGATCGGAATAAAACGGGACGGATTCGGGTCGTCATATTTTGTCCTAAATCGCAAATATAAGAAGTGGGAGAGGGTGACATTTCGTTCAAAAAAAGAAACATGTAGTCATCCAACAAAAAAACAATAAGTAGAACGGGTCCAAATAAATTTCAAGCCTGTGAAGTTAACTTAATTAAATAACTAATTAATTAAAAAATGAGTGTATTTAGATTTTGGACTAGAATTAGTATTACTCCGTATATATTAGTAGAGTAAATGAAACGGGACAAACGGGACGGATCGGTATAAATTTTAGTTGTCCCGCTCATGTCCCATTTGATATTGGAACGGAACGGGTTCGGGATAAAAAAAATGTGTCCCGATATATTGGTACAATTACAAAACGGAACCAAGACTTTTCGGAACGGTCTAACAGGAACGGATTTGATGCCCACCCTTATTCACAATATTCCTCCACCATCTCAATCTAAACTATTGCAAAAGATAAGGCAAACCCTAATTAGAACCATGTCGATCTCTGGGCCGGTGCTGAGCACTGAGGAGGAAAAGCAGATCTGTCAAAAACTCGCTGTATGCTCTTCAGTTCTCTTTCATGGTTCTTCATACATATGGGTATCCAATTACATCGAGGTTTTTCTTTGGTACGCATGCTTGAGTAAGGGTATTCAATCCATTGTTGTTTTTGTGTTCTGTTTTACCAAAAATTTTCTAGAGCGCACCTCAAATCAATTATGTCTGAATGTTCTTGGTCTTCTGATCGTTACTAAATGTTGAAGGTTCGTGTTTTTCTGGATCTGAACTCCGTTCATGATTTTGCAACTGAGGCAATATTTTTGGGATGGAGGGGGTATTCCCTTATATTTTCAAAGATAAAAACACTCAAATTAGTTATGTTTTTGAAACATCATAAGATTCAAAAGGCATGACATCCTAAAAATGAAACCATTTGGAGTCATTGTCACAATTAGCTCATTCTTCCTGCTCTCTACGTAAGATGCTATTCTTTGTCGATATGGAAAGGTTAATACTCTCACACCACCCAAATAAAATGCGGCAAAGCCTCAAAGGAAACCAAATAACTAACAGTGAAATTGGTTGAGGCTTTTTCATTACTTCATTCTTTATATGCATCAGCTTGTGATGGGAGGCATTTAAAAGGATAATGTTGGGAATGTACATGTAAATATATACTCCGTAGTTTTTTTCTTTGTTGGATAAAAAATCGGATGTACCTGAAGTCTTGAACCAAAATTTACCTTGCCCAGATGGAGTGAGGAGGCTCCTAGGTCTCAAGAATGATTTTGTTCCTAAAAAAATGTGGCCTGCATCTCACAACACCTTTAGTTTTATGCAATACACCATGTCAAACAGTGGTTGCAAGAGTTTGTCAGTTCTGTTCCGTCCATCCTTCTCATGTTTACCATTGATTAGTATTCCATTTAGATGATTTGTTTTGCTCCAAATCCAAGCTTTTATGCCTTCAACTGCTGCAGATTGCTCTAATGAGAGATAAAGTAAAGGTGATTGTCCATAATAAAACAGCTCTCTTTGATGAGCAAGTAATGTATTGACCTTGTTGAAGTATTTCTGCCTACCACAAATGCATATATTTAAAACTGGACCCCAAAAGTATTAGTGTAGTTGTGAAGTTAAAACAAAGGAAAGTAGAAAGGAGCACTTAATGGAAATAGTGATATCTGAGATGTAATTCCCTGCCCAGATTCATCACTAGCTGTATTCATCCCATCTCCTGCTGGGTATGAAAAGAAAGATTTCGTTGCCAGCAGCACAACCCCCCTCTCAGGATTGATTGTATGGGTATGATAATGGTAACAATCATTGAGATGCCTTAATCTCTGCATATAAATACCTGATACAGATTATGATTAATGGAAAAATCTATCAACAAGAGCCTGCACACTAGACTTCCACAGACATTAGTTACAGTACCGACGTCAATAAATTTTGGGAAAAGTTTACCAGGGCATGCTACATCAACACTCATTACCGCATGCCCACAACCCTAACGATCAAGATACAGTCTTACCTGGGGAAATCTAAGTTAAAGCTCTACTTTGAACTTGTAATGTAATCATATATGATATACTGCATCATCTTAGTATCTTATAGATTGGTTATGTTTTGACTCATTGTGTGTGTGTGTGTGTTTCTCATTCTTGTGTAGATTTGGATAATAGATTGCCCCCTGGGCTAAGAGTGGACGAACCCTCTCTATGTCGGTGTTGTTTAAAAGGGATGCACCACTTTTATCTGTGCCCGTATGGAAATATTGTCCCTGAGGGTGCAAAAGTTGGCCATGGCTTTAGCCTTTACTGCAAGGACTGTTGCGGGAAGGACTTCTGTCCTGATGCAGAGCAGACTTGTGTGTGTTGTGGCGGTACAACTAAGATGGCTGTTGAAAACCAGTGTTATATTTGCGGCGAATGGGGAGACCACCTTGAACAAGATTGCGGGTTAGCTGAATTTGTGGATTGGGATGCTGTTAATAAACGGACTTACAAGTGCCCGCCATTGTTGGTTGGAGATGAACTAGATGAGGCACTCAGGCTCAAGGCAATGCGGGATAGAGCTCACTCAAGGCATCATCAGCACCTAGCTAGCTAGCTAGCTAGCTGGAATTCTCAGGTACTAGGCCATGAGGAAAGGAAAGGAGATGTTTCAAAATTAAACTGTTTTCTGACCATATCATAACATAACTTATCCTCTGAGTTTAATATAACTTGTATAAACTAAAGCTGTAGTATCTTTGTTTGATGCATCAATTTCTTATATTTCATCTCCTCATGCATTCTGCTAAGTCTATATAACCCCCTAGACCTTGTACTGATCCAACCCTGAAGGGACCAATATTCACCCCCTCTTAGAGATTGCTTTTTTTTAACGATAAAGAAAAAAATTGATGAATTTATCTAATGGCGGTGGTGCCCGCCACGTGCGAAGGTAAATTTTTTTTAGGTCGCCTAGTATATCATATTGGAATATTGAAATAATGATAATTCTTACATTGTCCGAAGGTACATACTCATTTTAAGAAACATAAAAAATTGGGCCTCTTGCAAAAAAAAGTAAACCCAATAATTTGACAAAGTCTTTTTAAATTCTTATTTGATTTAAGTAAACCCAATTACACAAAATAGCTAATGACACTAAAATCACTAACAATTCTCCCCTATTTTTCATGAAAACTTTGAAGTAGCGGTCGACTCCAAGTGTCCAAGAGTACAATATATAAGGTTTAGGTCTTTATTCATGGTTTCGGTTTGGTTGAAACTTGAAGTTTATAGAAAATGTATAGTTAGCTACAATGTAAATTTAGTAATATTGGATTTGTTTTAGAATATAATTTTGAAATATTAAAATTTTATAACATTTAATGATTTTTAACTATATTTAATTCGTAGTCAATGAGTGTCGCAGTTTGACCAAAAAAATTCAAACGGTTGCAATTAGAGAGATGGGACCAGTAGAACTATCTAAAAAAAGACCAATGCAATGAACTGGTTTAGTAGAAGAAGAAGAAAACAAACAAAATTGCATTATAGTTTGGTTGATGAATATGACGTAACATATTAAATATGGTGGGATCCAATTATCCAAAAATTTATTGCTATATCTATTTTCTCTGAGAGAAACAGATCGAAATGGCCGGAGAAGATATATAGTGTGGAGGGAGCAGTACAGTAGCTGGCAATATTTTCAACCTGTGGCATTGCATTGCTTAAATCTGCCGACACCCACCCGCCCTTATTATTATTATGATTATTATTAGCTACATACTCCTGCAAAATTGGAACAAATACTCCCTCCGTCCCGCAAAAAAGTTCCCCTTTCGTTTTTTTTTCGTCCCAAAAAAAAGTTCCCATTTGTTATTAAAAGTCAATTATACCCTTACAAACCCAAACCCTAACAAAACTAACCTAGCCCACCCCCACCCGTTAGAATCTTCTCTCTCCTCCTCTTCGCCTCTTCCAATTCCCAGACTCTCTCATCTTCTCCCTTCCTCTTCTCTCAGATCTAACCTCTATCTCTCTTCTCCTCTTCTCTGAATCGATGAAATATCGCGACCCTACAATGCCCTCGTTTCAATTACTGAGCGACAGTGACGAGGAAACATTGTTTCCTCGTCAAAGATCACCTCCACCCACAATTTCAAAGAGGAAGGATGAGGAGACCTGGGGATCTGGCTTCGATGATGGTGGATCTGACTCCACTGAGACGGATCCAACTTGGAGTTTCCGTAAAAAGCATTTAGGGGGGGTTATTACTCTGACCCTGAAAGGAGTTACGAATCAGAGGATGGAGAAGAAGACTCTGAATCTGTGACATCTGCACAGATTTTGGAGATGTCTGAGGATGAGCTCAATTTCTCAGAATGTACTTCAGACCCAGCTAAGCAAAATCGTTTCAAATCAAGTAAGATGTATCTACTTTGATTTGTTAGCATGCGGAAATTTTTAATTTTTTTGGCAAACTCATGATGCAAACTTGATTAATTCTGAAAAGAGTTCAGAATATATGTGGTTTTTGCTGTAATGTCACCACTTTCATTTAGGAGACTTACAGAAACCACATTTATGGTGGTATGGTCTTTGCTGGTTTTGGTCTACCTGTGTTTTAAAGCGTGAAAGGAAATGTATTTTCTGGTGATTTAAGTCGTGTTTTTTGATTCTTTGATTCTGTGGTTCTGTGGTTCTGTTGTTCTGTGTTTCTCTTCTTCTAGTTAAGGACTGATACTACACCTCTTCTACTTAAGGACAGATACTCCACTTCTTTTTAACAAAAGACAGATAATACACTTCAGATACTACACTTCATACTGACAAAATTACAAACCAGCAAAAATCAAAAAGCAAAAAACAGGCAAGTGGTAGTACTTTGACATTTGTACCCTGACCAAACTGCCTGGTGACCTCAAGTTAGATGCTACACTGATTACATTTGTACATTGACTTGGGAGTACAAGAGAATATTGTAATTTTCCCATGCCCTATTGTACATACAAAAAAGAACTTCCAAAAAAGTTCACATTTGTTCCTCCAGAAAATGTTTTGCCTGTTCATAAACTTCTTGGGTGACCCCTACATTGTCTGGCAGCCTTCCTTCCCTAGCTAACATTGCTTTCCCAATGTGAGGTATTCTGAAATTGTTGCCACCTCTGTTCTTAAGAACCTCACCCATAACTCCTTGCAATGTTAGGAAAACATTATTCAACTTCTCATGTGGGATATCCTGGAATGCTGTGGTTACAGCATTTATCAATTCACTTAAGTTTCTAGGGGCTGATTGATCTTGAATACTGTCAATTGACCTAAAGAAACCCAGATCAAGTACATTTAAATCTGGGCTATTGGGTGGCTGAAATTTCAGTTCAATGTTCCAATCTCCATCTTCTGCAGCTGCTAGAAACTCTGGATTATTTCCTTCCACATGTGGTTTGGCATTATCTTGCTGAATGATAACATGTTTAGTTGGTCCTGGCCATTTTTCCTTGATTGCTGGCAGAAGTTTTTGAATCAAAATATTTTTCATGACCACCCTGTCTATAACTGGCACTGCCTTAACTTCAAGTGTTCCTGCTGGCCTATTTTTAGAAGCCCTTTTTGCTTCAGCAAGATAGGTGAAGAGGAAAATGCCAATTTTCCCATCCCACAGCAGACCCCCATCAGCCCCATACCTAGGCCTACCCACTGCTGCTAAAAACATTATTTTTGGTATGTGTGTTTTGGATTGGATTGTTCTGTGTGGGTCTTCTTCCTCTGGCAGTGCATAAAAGGTGGCCTTTTCCTTTGTGATATTGAACCATTTCTCATCAATATGAATATAATCATAAAAATTGTGAAATGTTGGGTCCAATGGAAGTGATGAGGGAGAAATATGGTCCAAACAAAAGGATTCAGAAAAATCGAATGGACCCAGACTGTTTATACCGAACTAACGTAACCTTACAGAGGAATACCAGAAGGAAAAATTGGTAGAGACCTGTCAACTAAACCTATGAAGGTAACGTATCGGTTCCCGTGCATACAAGAACGCGGATACTTTACCTTGACGGTTGTAGAAACCTTACAGTTGTCCGTGAAGAAAAGACGGAGAGTTCCCTTTCCTTTTGCATTGAACACAAACTAGTAGACCATCCCACATTTGACCACTAGCTGAAGACCATATTTTCCCTACTGTTTTTCTGGAAATGTTGAACTCTCCAGCCACTGCTTTAATGCAACCATGCTGAAGTTTGCCGTGCTTATAAGACTGTAGTAACCTATCGACTATTCTTCGTCTTCTTTCGCTTTGTTTTTCTCGTGAATGTGTTGTGTTTTCCTCTGAATCTGTAGGGGTTTCAAGGTTGAGAAAGGGGACTTGGAGAAGTGGAGGGTGGGGCTGGTTCTCACTGGCAGAATCATCACCGGATTCCGGTGGGACTTGATCATCAAAAGACAAAGATGAAGAAGAAAACTCCATAAAGAAGAGAAGAAACAAAAGAAGAACCCATTGAATGCATGGAATGCATTCAATGCTTTCTATTTATAGAAGTAGTGCTATTTTTGGGTTTTGTTGTAATTGGAGGGAAATGAAAAATTTCCCAAAAAATTTTCCCTCCTGCATGGACTTAAGCATTTAAATGTATTTTGTAGTGAATAGTGGTGTAATGATTGTGTTGATTTGATATGTTTCCTTCCCCTTATTTAATTAAAAAAAGTACACTTTTCTCCTTTTTTCATTTAGGGCGTGTGGGGGGTATTTTGGGCAACTCATGGGCAAAAAAACCCTTCCTTATTTTGGGCTACTATTCCAAATGGGAAGTTTTATATGGGACGGTGGGAGTATATATATTTATTGTAAAGTTATCAAATACTCCGTATATGAATATCACAATATAATGGGAAAGCGGTTCTCTGCAGCTTCTTCTTCATCAAAGAAAGAAGCCCAAGAAAGATCATCACTCCCAATTCATAAAGTTTTCAAGCTTCCTTCTTCCTTGCCCCCATGGCCTTCATCTTCCTTCTCCTCATCATCAGGTTATATTAGCTCCTTAATTAATACGGAGTAACTTCTTACACATTATATATATTATTTCATTTCTTATGATGAGTACCCATCCGGCCAGTATATATACCAATAGTGAAAATATATATATACCATTATTTTTTATATTAAAAAAAAAAGATTTCTTGTTCTAGAAAAATTCATGCCCTTACTTCTAAACATATGCGATACTGCTTACTTCCACATTCAGAAAATACTACTCGATATATAATTACATTTCACCCAAAAAATGATATGTATACATTGGTTTTAGACAGTAATATATAGTAGTATTAATTATAGTATTGTTTGTTTATTACCCCCTAATCAACTTCTATTATTAAGTCGATTCAATTCCAACTTGTGTTAAAAATGTTTCTTATATATAAATACTCTCTTGTATTTTTCGTCAATCTTAATCTATTATTCCAAAAACTACTATGTTATATCAAGAGAATATTTTGGATAGACACATTTTATGGTGCTGATGAAAAATTAAACATGGAGAAAATGTCCTACTCCAATTATTAAAACTCAAGGAGTAATTTATATATCGATTACTTTTCTCTTCAATTTTTTATGGCAATTGATATCTACACTCCATAATTTACTAGCTGCACTCCACTTTTTTTATTTTTTGAAAGATTGACAATTTTGCCCTTTCAATTACAAATACCTCGTTTTCATCATCCCTTTACATCATTAATATTTATATTAACTATTTAACAAGATTTACAATTTTGAGGATTAAATTATACTAATTTATACTTATTTTTTAGGGAAATACTTATTTAAAAAATTTTATAATATTGTTGTAATTTTTTTATGTATTTAGAAACACACCAAATAGTTATTTTAATTAGTGCACCGTATCATAAAGTCTTAAAATAAAATTAAATATACTACAATTAATTGAAAAATTTCAAAAAAAAACGCAATTCTATCAAAGAATTATTATCATATTTTTCTCCCACACTTTTGAAAATTGGCATGGAATAAAAAAATTTACATTTTTAAAAATGTATCAAATGTTCTACGGAACCAGAGGTGATATTACGGAGTTCTATATTATTTTATCAAATAAGTAACGAGAACCAGAAAAGAGTAATTAAGATTTGAAGGGATGGAGTATCATGTTATCTTACTCAAAGTGGTCATCCAAAACTAAAAAATTTTATATATTTAGAAATATTAACAAAGTTTTTTAGCAAATTAAAACATGATTGACGATTTTATTATATCAAAAAATCATGAAAGTATATACTTTGACAAATTTATTTTAGGCAAATTATGCTACATTTGCTTAATGTTGAGATGAACATGCTTATTATAAATTTAAAAAAAAGACACAGAGCTACTTTTATGTGAGAAAGTCCACGGGATTTATTTTTGGAACTTAGGTTCAACAAATAAGCACTCTTCATTTTGCTTCATCTGTCTAAAAAAGAATTTTGCATTTGATTTTTCTCAATCAAATTTTACATTTGATTTTTCTCAATAAAATTTTATATTGTTTTGATCACGTTTTGAGAAAAATGTATATATTCAGTTATAACTTAAATTTATTATAGTTGGGTTAATTACAAAATATATATTATATACATCAAATTTTTATAGTTGAAATATTTATTTATGTACAAGCATAATTATTTGTGGCAAAAGTATCGTACGGTAAAAACTCAAATGTAAAGATCTTTTTTAGATTAACAAATTAATAAATAAGTATGGAGTATTAATAAAATTATAATCCTCAAAATTATAAAATTTGTTAAATATAAATGGATTGTATAAATATCAATGACATTGTTATAGGTTTTTTTTTTGCAAATAAATTACGATAGAAGTAATGGGGTAAATCATGTCTAGTAGGATTGTACGTAGGATGAAGATGGGGTCTTCTAGTTACAACAACAACAACAACCCAGTTGGATCCCACAATAGTAGGGTCTGGGGAGGGTGTGTGTACGCAGACCTTGCCCCTACTCGAAAGTAGTGAGACTGTTTCCAAGAAACCCCCCGGCTCCACCTGCACAAAAATATGGGGTCTTCTAGTTAAAAGGTTATTATTGTCCATCTATTAAGAAAATATAAAATGTGGAGTGCCATTAGTAAATTATGGAGTGTAGATATCAACTCCCATTTTTATATGGATACTTTAACACTACCCTCAAGTGGGTAACGAGACGATTTTGAATCGAGTTGATTGATCACTTGCAACAGACCACAGATCGCTGGGTTACTGGGTATGAACTTTTAGGCGAACAAGCGGGTTATATGAGCCATATACCGTTTTTTCGAACGGAACGGGCCGCTAAAAATGGATTTCTAGACAAATAACTTAACAAATGAGGTAGGCTAAAACTGGCTCTGATACCATGACACATTTGGGTTGAACCACATTAAAAAATTAAATTAAATTAAGTACTTAGTTTAACTCAAAATTTATATATCGATTACTTTCTCTTAATTTTTGGTGTGGGATACTCTAAGAGAAAAATTCAATAGGATAATCAATGCACCAAACTCCCTTCTTCTCTCCAAATAAAGTTCTACATTTGTTCATAGTACACATTAATAAGGGTAAAGTTGTGTACGTCTCTGAACTTTCAATAATGTAAAGGTGATATCAATTAAAGTGTACATCCTCCAACCCACAAAAAAATTGTTTTGATTTTTTGTCAAATTTTGATATTCTTTGATTAATAATTAAAAATAATTTAAGTAAAAAACGTCATAAGAATTTTGTTACATGAAAACTACTCCGTATATTCTAAGATGAAATTAATTATTTTGAATTTACATTAAAATTAAATACACTTTTCTTACAACTTGTGGTCAAAGAATGTCATTGCTTAATTAAAAAACCAAAACAAAAAAGTTTTTCTAGGACGTAATAGGTAGTATGAATAATATACTATGCACGTCTTTCTTTGGAAAGAAGGTGCAATCTCTTTTGAAATAAATAATAAAAGAAAATGTGAAACTTTTTTATATACTCAGTAACAAAAGAAATGTTATATCTCCGTTCAAAACTTTTTTCTTGTTTTGACTATTTATAGGCAAACTGAAAAACTTTGATGATTAGTTAAATACAATCTATATTAGATAATAGCTATTGATATAAGAACAAATTTATTAGAATTATTTGGTAAAATATTTTGAAAATATTTTTTATCAATTAAATTAATATACTATGTAAGTCTTATATAATTATAGGTCAAATGCCAATCTATTTGACAGTAAAAACCAAAGTTGGATATATATTCTAGGACGGATGGGGTAATTGGTTTGTTAAACAAACAAATGAACAACTAATTCCAAACATGTATTCCTCCCGTCCTAGAATATTTGTTAGTTTTGACTTTTTGTAGTCAGCTAAAATCGATCTTTGAGCTATAATTAAATTACAAAATACATGGTATAAAATTTGATAAAATAATATCTTGGAAATATTTTACCATATAAATCTGATTAAATCATTATTTCTAATATAAATTTTATTTAATTAATTAATTGTCAAAATATATAAATTTTGATAGAAAAAAGAAAAAATGAACAAATACTCTAGGATAGTGCTACTGTGCTAATAAAATTTAAAAAAAGTAAATAATTAAATTCGGAGACAATACAATCACTTTAGCTACCTAAAAGAAGAGGGTGTTTGAGAGTGATTAACTTGTAGATAAAGTGATTTGCACAAAAGCTGAAAGCAAAAGTATCTCATAACTGCTTCTCTGAAAGAGTGTTCTATGTATAAAATAGTGGTGCAAAAAAAATAAAATCTGACATGCCAAACAAAGTAAAACCATTTATACTAAAAAAAACCTAATTTTTAAAAGCATCACATTCTCAAAGTATGTGGGCTTAGTAGCAAAAAAGTCTTCCAAGTTTCTACACATCTATTGAAGTGAACTGTATTCACATCTTTAAAGTTGAAGACTTTTTGAAAAGTTGGGAAAAAGACTCCCTTCCTCTTAGAAATTCTAATTACTATCTTGGCTTTTCGTTGACTTTGACTTCATTGTATAATTTTGAAATACAAAATTTGTGCATTTTTAAAATAAAGTATCAAGTTTTTCTTCTAATTCTTTATTATGTCCCCCTTTCTATTTTCCTACATATATGTCATAAAGTTGTTATATGGTGACAGAGTCTCTCTTATATGAGATTTTTACAATTATCATAAAATATTGAGGTTACATTCAGTTTCTCCCAAAAATCTATTGTCGAGACCAGTAATTACTAATTAGATATTGGGATTCAGTTTTATTTTTTGTTCCATAAAACTAAAACCGATGGGGTTAGGCAAATACTCTATTTGTTTCTAAAAGATTACAACAATTTAATTAAAAGTCAAATTATAGCGCCTTTTGTTAATGATTTATGAAAAAAATATATATTTAGTTATAATGTAAATTTAGTAAAATTAGATTTATTTTAAAATATAATTTTGAAATACTAAATTTTTATAATCTGTTATTGTTTTAAACTATATTTAGTTCATAATTATAAGTGACTAAAAAGTCAAACTGTAGAGGAGTTTCATTTATATACCTTTCTTTGTACCAATGTACAGGCGGTGGGGGTGGGTTTGGGAGCGGACATATTGATCTCGGGGGGCTCCAAGTGTGCCAAATTTCAACATTCAACCCGGTCTGGTCAACCTACGACGGCGGTCCAGACAACCTAGGAGCAACAGTCTTCGAGCCTTCCTCATTACCCGACGGATATTCCATCCTGGGCTACTACGCGCAGCCAAACAACGAGCCATTGTTCGGTTGGGTCCTCGTCGGCCGAGACATCTCCCCCGCCGGCGGCGTAGTCCTCAGGCAGCCGAGCGATTACGCGCTGGTTTGGACCAGCGAGTCTTTGAAAATCAGTCAAACCAAACCGGCCTATGTCTGGGTGCCCGTCCCGCCCGAGGGTTACAGGGCTGTCGGGCACGTTGTCACGACCTCGCCGGAGAAGCCACCGGCGGACCGGGTCATGTGCGTCCGGGCAGATTTCACGGAGGAATGTGAAACTGAGACTTGGGTTTGGTCGCCGGGGAAGTCGTCTAGTGATCCCAATGGTTTTAATCTCTACCTTCTGAGACCACGCAATAACAGAGGTAAATATGAGTGCATACTTTTCAAATTGAAGTTATCAAAGTATAATTATTCTAAGAATCTAAATAATATTTGGTTAAACTCCACTATTAGTCCTTCAACTTTATGAGTTGTGAACGATTAGTCCTTTAAGTTTAAAGGTTTATAAATAGTTTTTCAATTTTATGAATTATGCATGATTAATCCTTCAAACTTAAAAGTCTATAAATAATTCTTCAAGTACACGTCAGCTCTCTAAGCTAGATGAGGTCCTTTTGACAATAAACGTTAAAAACTACTTCCCCCATCCCCCTGTATTTGTCCACTTTCATTTTTACACACCATCCAATGCACTTCTTTAATTCATTTTATCTTGTAATTTGTATATTAAAAAATTATAAAAATTATATATTAATAATCTATATGTTAAGACAAATCAAACAAGATCACATATGACTATATTTAGGCTTACACATTGAGAGAATTTGATGGGTCAAAGTGCTTAGATGAACAGTTCCAAAAGTCAAATGTGGACAAATACAGGGGGACGGAGGGAGTAAATGGAGTACTAGGTGTCTAGCTCTATATAACACGGAGTAGTCGTACTTAGTAAAATTTACTCGTATTGTATGAAACTACTATTCTATTTAACTTTTAATGTTTTCTTTCAAAAAGACCTCATCTGAGAGACTGACGTGCACAAGTCTTAAAGTTAAACAGCTATTCATGGATTTTTGAAACGTGAAGCAACATTCGTACAAAACTCATAAAGTTGGACCAAGATTTTAGCCCAAAATATTTACAAGTAGGTTCAATTTTCATTAACGTCAATGTTAGTTTTAGAATGACTTTATTTTCCTTCCTCTGCTCTCTAAAATATTCAAACGATAAAAAGAAAAATAGTTTTATTTTCTATCTTTCTTCTAAATTTTTCATCTTTATTACTCCGGGTATTTTCTTTTCTCCCAAAAATATTTCCAAACAGGGGTTAGTCCCAATAGAGCACGGTAAATCCGAGTATCCCATATGATCTCATGATATTAAGGTTGAATGTCGATTAAACTGTGTTGGGCATATATACTAGCTATTTTTATCATCGCGGTCATGATATTAAGGTTAAATATAACACTCCCTACGTCCCCAAACAAACTTTCTCTTTCATTTTTCTTTGTCTCCAAATAAACTTCTCTTTTCTCTTAAAAAATTCCTTTTACCTCTTACTTTTTCATAATCTATCTATCTCATCATACTTTTTACTAATAATCTACATATCACATCTTATTTTTACACATCACATCAAGGGTATTTTTGGAAAGTCAACACAAAAATATCTCTCCTTTAAACCCTCAAAAAGTCAAAAAGAGAAGTTTATTTGGAGACGAAGAGAGTATTTATCAGAAGTTCATTTATTCTATCTCCAAACTAAGAGTTTGCACGATAACATTTGACATTTTTCTCTATTTTGGTAATCAATAAAAACATAGAACTTATATTTTGATACTTTATTCATGTTTAGAGGAATTTACTTAAATAACACTAAAACGTAATGACTTTCCCTAAATAGCACCACATGTATTTTTTCTTCTCAATGTAGCACTTTTAGTCATTATGCATTAGTCATTATTCAAGCAAATATTCGTCATCATTGGACATTATGAACATTATTAAGTGTTATTTAGAGAATAAAACATTTTAAGTGTTATTTAGGGAAATGACTTAAGTTCTAATGCTATTTAGTGCAAATATTTCTTACTTCTAATTTAATTATTTTCCCAATATTTATGTCAAATTCGAAGTAATTGCATGAATTTTTACATGCATGCAGGTACGAAAGGACTTGGAGTGAGCGTGGGCACATTTGCAGCAGCTCATAACAACAACAACAAGACTACAACACTATCATCTCTATCTTGTATGAAAAACAACAATTCCACGCCATTTTCTTCCATGCCTAACCTCGTCCAAATCAAAGCCCTCTTCCAACAATACTCTCCCGTGCTCTACTTCCACCCCAAGGAAACTTACCTTCCATCTTCCGTCAACTGGTTTTTCGCAAACGGCTCCGCGCTTTACAAGCGGGGAGACCAGTCCAACCCCGTCCCCGTCCACCCCGACGGGGCAAATCTCCCCCGGGGCAGTGGCTCGGACGACGGCACCTACTGGCTCGACCTCCCCCCTGGCAAACCCGCCCGTGACGCCGTCAAGAAAGGTGATCTCGAGAGTTCCGAGGTTTACCTTCACGTGAAACCCATGCTGGGCGGCATGTTCACGGACGTTGTCGTATGGGTTTTTTACCCCTTCAACGGTCCGGCCACGGCCAAGGTCGGTCCGGTTGACGTACCGCTCGGCCGGACCGGCGAGCATGTGGGGGACTGGGAACATCTTACTCTAAGGATCAGCAACTTCGATGGGGTCTTGTACAGAATATACTTCTCCGCTCACAGCGGAGGTGCGTGGGTGGAAACCCCGCGGCTCGAGTTCCTCGAAGGCGGCGGGAACAAGCCGGCAGCATATGCGTCGCGTAACGGGCACGCGAATTACTCGAAACCGGGCGCGGTGTTGCAAGGGCTGGGGGACGAGGTGGGGCTGAGGAATGACACTGCCAAGGGCGGCTTGGTTTTGGACTGCGGGCGGAAGTACACGGTGGTGGCGGCGGAGGGAGTGGCTGAGCCGCCGTGGCTGAACTACGCCGGGAAATGGGGACCGGTTATTAGGTATTCGGCCGGGAGGGAGGCTGAGGCAGTGAAGGGGGCGTTGAGGGGGAGTTTGAAAGGTAAGTTTGAGAGTGTGGTGGATTTGCTTCCTGCGGAAGTGTACGGAGAAGAAGGCCCAACTGGCCCAAAGTTGAAAGACAGTTGGAGTGGTGATGAGAAGTGATTATGCATGGGAAAATGCTAGGGTGTCACCACATGGGTGCTACCATGGGTGCACTCATGCTTCGCACAGACAAACACAGACGATAATTGTCTGTGCAACACAGACAATTATTGTCTGTGTTTGTCTGTGCGAAGCATGGGTGCACCAATGGTAGCACTCATGTGGTGGCACCCTAGCATGGTCCTTATGCATAATGTATGATGATAGTAAAATACGAGTCATTTTCCATACTTCGTATAACACTTGAATTTTTTTATTTTTTAAATAAGACTTAATAACTTTTAATAAACGGCCCGGTTCCATGGCCACTGGATTCCAGTGGCCACGGAAGCCACTGCCCCCCTACGGAGCTTCGTTCATTAAATTGATGATTTCTACCCCCTCTAACCCCCTGGTAAACCCCCCCGCCAAGTTCTGACCCAAACTAATCACCCCACCTATGTCAATTGCACCTCGTAAGTATAAAGTCAAAACTTTTGACTTTAAAGTCAATTATACTTACGTGGTGCAAATGACGTAGGTGCGGTGATTAGTTTGGGTCGGGACTTGGCGGGGGGTTTACCGAAGGGGTTAGAGGTGGTAGGAATAATCAATTTTATGAACGGAGCTCCGTAGGGGGGCAATGGCTTCCGTGGCCACTGGAATCCAGTGGCCATAGAACCGGGCCGTTTAATAAAAAGAATAATGTCTAGTGATGGTGAAAATTTATTTGAATAATGATTAATAATGACCAATGGTCCTACATTGGAAAATAAAAATATATGATCTGAAAAACTCATTATGTTTTAATCCATTTAGGTAAATTTTCCTAGTTTTAATTAAAACGATCATTAATCCATGCTTAAAGTTTAAGAAAATTATTTTCTTAATAAGAAATGGTTAGAGTAAAACATAGATTGAGTATCAAAATAAAATTTTATGTTTTTATTTTCAAGGTAAGAGTTTATGTATGAGAAATTTACTTAAATAGGACTAAAGCGTAATGACTTTCCTAATATAGGACCATATGTTTTTATTTCCCAATATAGAACCTTTGGTCATTATGAAATAGTCATTATTAAAGTAAATGTCCATCATTACTGGACATTATTCCTCCCACTAGGTCATTATTAAGTCCTATTTTGGGAATAAAAAAATTTAAATCCTACATTAGGAAAGTCATTATGTTTTAGTGTATATTGACATTACACAATATGCAATTTGTAAAATTAGTCAAAGTTGGACTTATTTACAATTACACTAATTAAGCTTGAACTCAAGTAATCTCTTCTACATTCTTGGAGCTTGGGAGAGCACATGCATCTTGGATTCCATCCACTCAATCCGAAGTCTACACACACATTAGGTGTGCCACTGAATCGTCCGGGAAAGGAACACTGAAAATCTGGCGAGGGATGTGCCGCAGTGATCTAGGCGGTGCTGTGGATTGCGATTAGGTTTGAAGGGAAGGATGCATGTAACACCCTCCGTCCCGCGAGCCCGGTTCACCGCGGCCTAACGAGCCGGAGAGGTTACGTAGATGGTTTTTAAGGCCGTCTACAAAGAAAATCCTTGCATTGTTTGTAACTGAAAACCCTTTGATATATTTTATTAAATGATGAAAATAAATTCAATTAAAGAGAATGGCTCGTAGCGGAAGTAAAAGTAAACGTTTAACGTTAAGTTATAAATAAAGGAAGTGCAACAACGGAGGATTCAAGCCCAAAACAAGTTTTAAGTATTAATTGATAAATAGTCGGGTTCACACTATCGTTCATCTGCTGCCTCGGTCACCCAGTCGTCCGGGTCAGGCTCCATGGTCCTCTTGCCTACCTGCGTATAACAAAGGGAAACAACGTTATACGCTCAGCAAAAGCTGAGTGATAATCTAACAGTAGAACGCATAGTACATTCACATTGATATAGACATAATTGTACGTGTACTAAAGTACGAGATACCACATTCAAGTTTGATAAACAAAAGTTTACTAATAAACAATGATGCAATGCCAAATAATCTTGATGCATGAGTTAGACTGCGCAGGACCCCCTGCCCTTCGGTGATCACCCCCACGCGGTAGATGAGTTGTGGAACGCCTTAGTCTTCCCGATGAAGACTAGAAATGTGGGTGATACACTACTACAAAAACTGGCAAATGCATCGGTTATTTTAGACCAATTGCATCAGTTTTTTCCCGATGCTAATGCACGCGATGTAAAAAGTCCAGATCAATTGCATCGGTTTCCATAACCGATGCAATTGCTATCAATTGCATCGGTTTTAATTACCCCTGCGGTGCGCAGGTTTAACTTTTCTTTTAATAAATGGAGCAAGTGCATCGGTTATTAAGTAATAACCGATGCCATTGATAGCCAATTGCATCAGTTATTACTTATTACTTAACAACCGATGCATTTGCTCCATTATATTAAAAAAATAAATCTGCTTCAGGTAGTAAGACTTGAAGCGCAATAAACAAATGTCTCCTCTATGCTTCGATTGAAGGAACAAAAGGAGCAAAAAGACCAGCAAATTGAAGAAGCCATACTAACCAAAGGAAAAAAGATCTCTCAACTAAAACTGAAGAAGAATTACAAACTAAAGAGGAATTATGGAATCAATTTTGAAGAAAAAATACATATCCTACACATCAAATTTTAAGAAAAAAGTTGATGGTGGCGAATCGCTGCTACTAGGGCTTCAGGTTTGAACTCAAGCCAAACGAACCTGTACTTGCATGCCGCCAAGGAAATCCAGCGGTCAATGGAGTCGACCACGCTCTCTAATGACCAGAGCAAGGTGAACTTCTTGTTCCAGATTGCTTTCTGATGGCTTGGCTCGAGGATGAGTTTCGGAGATTCCTAATTTCTCACTCCAACCCTATCTGACCAGATTCATTTCTCGATTCGAGCTCTTCCTCTTCCAACATCAAGATGAGCTTGGGAAAACGAGATGAGAGTCCGTTGACTGACGAATTACAGATCTATGATCGAATAGCATAATAGGAATTTCAGATCTATGATCGAATAGCTCTTCCTCTTCCAACTCATGCCGTCGGACCTCAGGAACATCACCGAGTAGATGATTTCCTCTGGATTTTGTAAAAGATTTGGGGGAAATCAGATTTGTTTGTGATGTGTGACGATAAAAAGATTTGGGGGACTTAAGAAGAAAGATGAGAAACGTAAGAGAGGTTCAGGAAGCGTAAAATATACACCCACATGTTCAGAATCGGTTTTTAAGAACCACCGATGCAAAAGCCCTCCAGTTTAACAACCTCTTTTAAATCAGTGATTCCTAAAAACCGATGCAAAAGGGTATTTGCATCGGTTATTAGGAATAACTAATTTAAAAGGGTTTCAGCATTTAAATCGGTTATTCCTAATAACCGATGCAAATACCCTTTTGCATCGATTTTTAGGAATAACCGATTTAAATGCTAAGCAGTTGGCGAATTTTTTTAGCTTTTAAATCGTTTATTCCGCTGACCGATTCAAATAGGGCAATTTATTTGGTCATTTTTGTACTAGTGATAGCTGAAGCCTAGCTACCATGTACGTACACAAGCCCTCGTGATGGAAACCCGTTGGATCCCGCGGGTTCCTGAATGGGCCCGCGGAAGAGGTGCACTAAGCCTGACCTCTTGTCGCAGTATGCAAAGTATGCCATGATCCTAAACATGCGTCTACGATATACATGATGATATGGATGCATTGATTGAAGAATGAAGTTAAGTCCAACGCATACAAATATGTTTGATTCGATATGAAAACAACTTGTTCAACATGGCGGACCTGAGTTCAGAACTGGCTGATAATCAATTAGAGCATCAACAATGGCAAGGCAAAAATGGAATGGCACATGGTGACATGGAACATTTTAACCAATAAAAAATTGTCCAGTCAACGTGCGGCAAGTGAATGGAGTGGCAAGCTCTACAGTGGCAAGTCATTATTTTTATCACTTTTTTACATTTTTTATGTTTTTTAAATATAAAAAAATATATTTATTATTTATTTTATCAAAATATTATTCTTCTTTCTTATACATTTTTTTCATAAAGGAATTTTTTTTTTTAAAAAAGAAGGGTGGAGTCCCATACCCATGCCTCACCAAGCAAGGCATTTTGGCCTTGCCATGCCGTGATATGAGTGGAAAGAGCTGATGTGGCAGTGCAAGGAATTCCACTTCCTTGCCACTGTAGATGCTCTTAACCACTGTTGACAATCGATTATCATGTTGTACAACTTGTGTTCCCAAGTTCTGCATGCCATGATAGTCGATTGTCACACCCTGACAATCGATTGTCAAGTGATTCTGTCTAGGAAACCCAAGTTCAGAGGGGCCTGATAATCGATTATTGCTCCGTGATAATCGAATATCAGTGAAACCAAACTCTGACTCAAGAATCCGCAGGGCCTGATAGTCGATTATCACGTATGTGATAATCGATTATCACGCTTTGCTGAATCAACTGAGGAGTTCAGCGTGGCCTGATAGTCGATTACAATGTCCTGTAACTCGATTATCAAGGCACGCTGATTCCCATTTTGTCTGTTTAATTATCATCAATACGTTGGAAATTTTTGAAATGAACGTTTACGTTTTTGTGTTTAGTAATCCATGAATTTATGGGGTTTCAAAACATTCATATTAACGAGTTCACAATCAAAAGGTCTAAATAACGAATAGCCATGATTACGTTGGTACACATAGGTTTAGCGGGTAATGCTATGATTATAACGATATGATTGAACTATAAATTCTAAAGTTAGAGGGCAACGTACTCACCTCTAATGCAGGGATTGATGATACGAGAAACGGATGAACGGACAGACAATGAACAACGAATAGCTTCTCACATGAACTTCTCCTCTTCTACCTCCCCGTCTACTCGCCGGAACACCTCCCTGAGCTACTATGGCCTGGCCGAAAATGCAAGGGGAGAGGAAGGGAGAGTGAGGGAGTTATGGAAATGGGAGTTACAAATGCTAAGGAAATGAAGGGAGAAGCCAATATATTGAATGGGGAAATGATGGGGATTAAATGAGATTGATGATGGTGAGTTGTGGGTGGCGTGGGTTTTGAAGGAATTAAATGGGGAGTTATCTCCCTTAATTCATTCCGTTGTGTTAAAATCTGACCTGAACGGTACGCGCTTTTCCCCGAAAGGGTCCGAATCAAAATCCGTTTGTGTTTCTCGAATCAGACAGTCAAGACGAATATTATGACGTGTTCAGATAAT